CCTCGCAGGCTGGTAATGGGGCCGGGTCCAAACCTGGGAACGTCTTGGACGTCTTGACTCAGTATCGAGGCCTGTCCTGGAGGTGAGTGAGGGCATGGCAAGGGCCTGAAGACCACTTCACTGCAAGGAGGGGGAGACCCGTGGGCATCGCAGGAAGTAATTCCTCTAGCACAGGGTGAGCCACCTAGAGCTTTTCCATGAGAAACAGCTGCTCAATTTGAGGAAGGTATTTATCATCTTCCCTAAACCACTACATTCCCCCAAACAAGAGCTGAGACTTGAGCAAGAGGAGTCTGGGGAGAAACGACGTAAACACTTGGGTTGGAAAAGCTTCTCTAGCTTCCATTTCTCCCTCTGGAGAGTAATCTCAGAGGCAGGCAGTGTCCTGTGGAACCAGACTTGTGTCTGAACCCTAGTTGCCCAGCTCTGTGTGACCTTGGGCAAGTTACTTAAGCTCTCTGAGCTTCTCTCCTTATCTTTAACGCAGGGGTAATACTGTCTGAGCACCACTATGAGGATTAGAGAGACTTTAAGCACTCAGCACAGTGCCTGACACACTGTGTGCATAAATGGTAGCTAGCATCATTATTAAAGGGCCTTTATTTTACAGATGAGAAAGCAAGGCTCACAAGGGACAGCTAACCTTTCTAAAACCACACAGCTAGATGGTAAAAGAGCAAGAAGTAGAGCAGATGGCTTCTGACCCCCTAATCTGGTGCATTTTTCCTCCTGTGTTGCTCCGTGCCGGCTTGTTCCTGCCCTGGCTGTGGTCAAGTCTAGGCTGCCACAAGGGCAGGTCTGCTGTTTGCTCAGCCTGGAATCTGGCAGCTCTGGCACCAGCTTGAAGCTGGGTGCTGAACCCTCCCTCACGATGCTGCACAGAGTTAAACCCCAAACATTTGGAGAACCTTTTAAATGATCCCAGATGGACTTGGCAGAAAGTGAGGGGATAAGAAAAAGCAGGAAATCCAATAAAGTCTGGAATGTTGCATATTTTCACGCCTAGAAACCCATCCAACTTTGATTTCCCTGGAATTTCAGAAGTGGCTTGGAAGATGGGTCGTTCTCCAGAAGATACCCTTTAAAAACAGGTTTTCCCAAGCCACACAGGAAGAGAACGGTGAGGGCAAGGCTTTTTTCACTGTTTTTCAGCTTAACAGTGCACAGCTGCAGTGGCTCACCTGGGCAAAGCCCGGCTGGGTGTCCAGAGAAGGGTCGGTCGCCTTCCTTTGGGAAGACAGGGTGAAGAGCACCCACTCGGTTCCCCTGCCCCAGTGTCGGTGCTCCAGGTTAAAAATCAACGTCAGCCATGACCATTTAAATTAGTTTCTTATTGGGATGTTCTGGTTTGTGGAGGGAGAGGAGTGGCTCTCTGTATTCTGGTTCCTTTTTCAGTTTTTCTACTGAACTAATTAAGGAAAAGGCAAGCTCCAAGATCCTAGGGTGTTTCTCAGGAGAAAGGTAGCGCCCGAGGCGTTTCGGCGTCGCTGGCATTCTCAACATTCGTTTTCTTTTTCGTTCCCACAACAGCGGCGGCGGCGATCACAACCTCAGCAGCGTCACCACCCTGGCGAGTGAGTACGCCCTCCCTCGGGGGCTTCGGCGGGCGCGCGGCGCCCTGCGCGTTTCTGCAGCTCCCCTTGGCGGCGGCCGCAGGCTTGGCAGGAAACCGGCGGCAGGAGACAGCCGCGTTCGGCAGGGGGCGCTGCTCCTCCGAGGCGGTGGATCTGCTCTGCTTCTGGAGAGTGATTAAATTAGCCTTGGAGATTTCTTTTTTATTTTAAGAGAAACTGCATTTGTCTAAGGCAGGAAGAGAGTAAGAGAAGAAAAGAGAGCTCAGGCCAAATCTTAGTGCAAGTCATAATTAAGAAATGATTCAAGTAAGGAAAGGGACTCCATTTCTGCTGTGCCTGCCATTCTGAGCAGAATACCTTTCCCGGAGGCACTGATGGAGGCTTGGACCGCTTTAGGCTACATTGCATACAAGGACATTGGGTTTCTTTCTGTGTGTCGCTTTGAGAAATGCTGCTGCTGCAGCAGAAAGAGATGGAGTTACTTTGTTAAGGCTGCGCAAGCACAGCCGTATTTGGGGCCCAACGTTTTCCTGAATTACTTCACCAAAAACCTGCTAGGAATGGTTTTTTTAAGCCTGATTACTTTCTCTGAACTGCCTTGCTTAATCTTTTTGCTTTCCTTAGTGTGTACACATCACAATGCTTGCTCTTAAAGTACACATGCAAAGAGTGTTACAATTGAATTCTTTTACCTTAAAGTCTTCTGGCTAAGAATTTTGCCTGAGAGGAATTTAATTGGTCCCAATTCTTATTTACTTGTTTTGAAATTATCCCTTTGTATAATATATCTTTAGAAGCTAAGAAATTATTTGGGCTTTAAATCACCAAGACTTTGATGATAGAGATGTCCTAATCTCTACCTGGGCAGAGCTAATTGGATTTCATGTATGTTATCTGGTTTTGCTATTTACAAATCCTGTTGAATTTAAGTAGGTGCAGTTCTGTGGCCCAACTACCCTGTCTTATTTCTAGGTTTACCCATAAGAGCTGTAATTAACCTTGTCTATTTGCTAGGAGCTTGTTTGGGTTGCTTTTGTGAGTGTGACTGATGGGCAGTGAGCTGGCCTGGCACATACAACAGCTCACTGAGCTCTCTGATTCCCATGCCATTAGTGTGGGGAAGGTGATTGGAGTCATCTGGCTCAAGATCTTTCACTTAAGTGGCTTACAAAGGATTGAGACCATGTCACCCCTCAGATGGACTCCCCAATACACTTAGCCCAGCAATGTTACATTGCTGTTCAGACTCTTCCTTACTAGAGTTGTGAAGATAGTTTGATTGTAGTGGATGAATAATCCACCAGGAAATAACTACATAGAAATGTTTTAGAAAACTTACAGTAACAGAGGGTCAGAACAGAATCTCAGCTCAACTCCATATTCAATTCAATCCAGCAATTCGCCAGTGCCAGGTGCTTGGGAAATAGGAGAATGAGCCAATGTCCCTGCCCTGGTGATATCACCAGTCTCTTTGGGGACATGTCTCCCTAAAGACAGACACGTACCAGTAAGTATCGCCATGTATGAGTTCAGCTGAAAATACCTAAGAAGTCTGTTAACTCTACCTTCTGAAAAGGAGCTTAAAGAACTAGAATTCCTCATGTAAGGAAAGGGGATGGAAATTTCCTCATAGAGATAACTGCAATCACCAACAAGTTTTCGCCCTTTCCAATGGTAAGTGCCTTTCTGTGGCTTTCCTGAGAAGTAGCTAGCTAGCCTGTGCTGGATTCCTCCAGTGATGGGGAGCCTAGGACAATCCATTCCATTCTCAAATAGATCTAGTGATTTCACTTCTCTCCCTTCCATTGAGTAGAAATCAGAGCAATTTCCATCCATTGACACAATGTCCCCAAAACCACCAGGAATGAGTTCAATCCATCTTTGTTGCGTAGGCCCTGCAGCAATGTTTGGTTCTAGAGAGCACAGTGCTGGATGGCACGATGCCCAAAAGACCGGGCTGATACCCAACCAGTTCCTTTCCCACTTCATCGTAGATCATGGGAGAGGGGAAAGTTCCCTGTGTTGGAGCTGAGAGACCAGGGTTCTAGCCTGAAATTCTATTCTCACTAACTATATGACTTTAATAACTGTCCTAGCCTGTCTGAACTTTGGGTTATTCGTACTTCAGTCCATAACATTTATTTAGCATACATGAAGCTTTGAAGTATATATAGACCCTCTCTTAGGAGTTCTCAGCCAAGTTGGGGTGATGGAAAAGTGAAAGGTCAAGTATAGTCCCAGTGTGATAAAGGCATTAGAATGCATGAGATTGAAAAGGTCAACAAAGTTAACAAGACTTTAGCTAAGCTGGCCAAGGTGGGGTGCAGGAAGAGAGCCTCAAAATCAGGAGTGAAAGAGGAGACATTACTATAGAAATAGAAAGGATTTTAAGAGACTGGTTTGAACAACTGCATGCCAATAAATTAGATAACTTAAATCAAATGGACAGATATCTAGAAAGACACAAATTACTGAAATTAATTAAAAAAGAAATAGAAAATCCAAATCAATTTATAACAAGCAAAGAGATTGAATTAGTAATTTTTAGACTTCCCATCAGAGAAAGCCTAGGCTTTTCTGGTTTTACTGGTGAATCCTCTCAGACACTTAGCAATAATTAATATCAGTTCTTCACAAACTTCTCCTCCAAAAATGGAAGAGGGAATACTTCCCAATTCAATCAGTGAGACCAGTATTACCTTATACCAGAATAAGGCAAAGACATCACAAGGAAAGAAAACTACAGAGCAGAATTTCTTTTGAATATATATTCAGAAATCATCAACAAAATACTAGTAGACCAAGTCCAGCAATAATAATCAAGGCAGTGTGGTACTGACATAAGGATAGCCATATAGATCAATAGAATAGAGTCCAGAAATAAACTCTCATATTTACAGTTAACTCATTTTTAACATGGGTGCCAAGACCATTCAATGGGGAGATAATAGTCTTTTCAATAAACAGTGCTGGGATAACTGGATAGCTACATTAAAAAGAATGAGTTGGACCCCTACCTCATACCATATATAAAAATTCATCCCAAATTGTATCATACATCTAAATATAAGAGCAAAAACTCACACTTAGAAGAAAATGTAGAAGCAAATCTTAATGCCCTTGGGTTAAAAAAAAAAAAAGACTTCATAGATATGACATAAAAGACAAGCAACAAAAGAAAAAATAGGTAAATTGGACAAAAGTAAACACTTTTGAGCTTCAAAGGATACCATCAAGAAAGTAAAAAGACAACCGAAAGAGTGGGAGAAAATATCTGCAAATCATATATCTGATAGAAACTTGTATCTAGAAAATACAAAGAACTATTACAACTCTATTATGACAAATAACCCAATTAAAAATGGGCAAAGAATCTGACTAGACATTTCTCCAAATATATACAAATAACCAAGAAATACATGAAAAGATGCTCAGTATCAGTAACCATGAATGTAAATCAAACCACAATGATATAATGATGTCACATCCACTAGAGTGGTTATAATAAAAAAAGACAAATAACAGGTACTAGTGTGAATATGCAGAAGTTGAAACCATCATACACTAGTGTGATGGGAATGTACAGAGGTACAGCTGCTTTGGAGAAAAGGCTGTAAGTTTTGAGAAGGTTAAACAGAGTTACCATATGACCCAGTAATTCCACTCCTAGGTGGAGTGGAATTCTATCCATGAGAAATCCATACAAAAACTAGTACCCAAGTGTTCAAAGCAGCATTATTCATAATAATTCAAAAAAGTGGGAACAATCCAAATGTCCCTCAGCTGATGAATGGAGAAATAAAATGTGGTATATCCATACAGTGGGATATTAGTTGGCTATAAAAAGGAATGAAGTGCTGATACATTCCACAACATGGATGAACACTGAAAACACTGAACTGAAACTAAGTGAAAGAAGCCAGGGAGAAAAGACACTGTTGTGTTATCATATAAATGATTCCATTTATATGACATGTCCAGAATAAGCACACCTATGGAGAGAAAGGTTAGTACTCACCAGAGGGTTGGAGGGCACAGGGAGTGACAGCCAGGGGATGATGGCGCTGCTTTTTGGGATGATGAAAATGTTCTAAATTTGCCTGTGGTTGTACAGTTGCACAACTGTATGAATATATAACATCTACTGCACTGTACTTGAAATAGGTGAATTTATAATATGTAGATTACATTTCAATAAAGCTATTGTATACTCAGAAAAAAAAAAAACTGCATGAGAGAAGCACCTAGCTCAGACTCACGGTCATTTGACATAATTCCGTAAGCTCCTGGTCTGCTGCCCAGGTGGCTAAGCCTCAACCTGCTGGACACGTTCCTTCTGTGCTGAGTGCACAGGAAGATCAGGGCTTTGGGGTGGGGGCTCTGCTTTGTTCCCAACACCCATTGGCACTAATCGAAGGAATGTGACTAAGTGCATCTCTTCCTTGTATTTCCAGACATCCTCCGGGAATTCAGCCCTTCCCTGAAAGGCTTCTCTGTTGGCACCGGGACACAGAACAGCCCTGGAGCCTTCCTGAACCAGGCTGTGGCAGGAGACCGAGCTGAGTGAGCAGGGGAGCCTTGGGAGAACCGCACTGGTCCTCTGGGGACCTGCTCAGGGGCTTGGCCTAGACTGGAGAGTGTGCTGAAGGCAGGGGAGCTGGTCCAGGGGAGGGGTCTGAGAGTCAAACACTGGGGCTGGGGGGGCTCTCTGGGGGGTGTCCGTTGCTGGGGGACACAGAAACCTACTAGTCTGCCCTACTAGTCAGTTGACTCCAATGCCAGGTATATGCAGTGAGCACGTTTCCCTGCCTCCTCTACCAATCTCATGTCCACCCAAGAGAGTGAGCCGTGAGAAGATCCCACTCGGAGTCCCAGTTCTTATCACTCTGAATGGCCTTTCGTGTCGCCTTCTCCCTCCCTTCCTCAGACTTGCTTTGGGGGCAGCCTTCCTGGGGTGTGGAAGAGCTCCAGGCCTAAGGGGGGTCCCTGAGTCCCAGGCTGGCTTTCCTGCTGGTCTCCCTAAGCTTAGCCTCTAAAGAATGCGGCTGACTGGGGACCTGCCCTAAGGAGTGGCTGTGAGGGCCGAGGCCACGCTGAATGTGAAAGCCTGGTGCACACATACTGGGTCAGGAGAGCAGTGCCAGCAGCAGGGCTGCAGGACCCACCTGGAGAACACTTAGTGAGCAAGGCCACGGCCGTGTTGCGGCCCATGGGTCCTGAGTGCCAGGCTCCCAAGAGCAGGATTGGCTTTCCTGGGTCCTGCTGCTCCGTTTCTCCCCATAATCCCAGGGCCCTGAGTGCTCCCTCAGGTTTACTACCTGGTCAGAGAACAAGTGAATACCTTGCTCAATCTAGGAAAAAGAAATGGAAAGATCCTTTCTGTTTCTTAACCCTGTTTTCCTTCCAGAATAATCACAAACCTCACTTCACCACCCGCTCCCAGGGATTCCTGTGTGTTGGTTCCTAGATCCCTGGACATCATTCTCCTAGCTCTCAACACCTTCTGGAATCCGTGAGCCGCCCAAGTAACCCATTCAGTCACAACAGGAAAGCTGATAGATCATCCAAAGCAGAGATCCTACAAAACCTGATCGATTTCATAATGAATTCTGTGGTTTCATTTTCCTTTTGGTGGAGGAGAGGTGAAAGGCTATGGACATACTACTTAAAATTGTTGGCTTGCTTTAGTCTAACCATAATTTTGCTGCTTTCCAAGCATCTGTCAGCTCGTGGTGTATGAGCAGAGGCAGTTCTAAGCATGATTAGGTCAGGAAGGCATCCAAGAGCGAAACCTTAGTCGAGCGCATGAGCGCAACCAAACACAGTGTGATTCATCCGGCCCTGGATTTCTTCCCAGCTTTCCCTCAGGCCTTGTGCTCCTTTGTATAAGTAATCCATTTGTTCAAGCACATCCCGCATTGTGGGGAAAAGCTAGGGTTCGTGATTCCCACATTACAGGTGAAGAAACTGTAGCACAATTGGGGGCCCGAACAATGTGTCGAACATGTGTGCTTGTGCCCTGCTGGCTTGACCCCAGGTCCTGTAATAGCCCCTCATATGCATACAGCAGGTACAACCACAAAATACCTTCATGTTTCTCCATCCTTGTGTTCTGGACAGTGGCTGTGAGATGGATAGAGCAGAGGGTCACCTGCCCACGTTTTCTCCATGGTGATAGGAGGCCCAGAGAGCTCGAGTGATCATCCCTACACTCTGGTCCATAGGAAGAACAGCTGCCCACCTAACTTCAGACTTGCAGATGAGAAAACTTAAACTCAAAGAAATTGAGTGGTTTACCCTAAAATTCCCACCTAGGTTTTCTGATACTCTGTTAGGTAGTCTACTTAGTCTACTATGACTAAGACTAGATCGGATAGACTAACAGTTAAGAGTGGAAGAAATGACCACTAACGTTTCCTGCTAGGCACTGTCCAGGTGATGGTGGTGGTGGTGACAGTGCTGGTGATGGTGGCAGGAATCAGTCAGCAGGTTATTGCTAATAAGGATGCTCACCATGTGCTCTTCCTTATGGGCACCTGATGTAAGCTACCCAGAAACTCTGTAAGGAAGGTATGCTTACCATCCCTAACCTACAGAGGAAAAAAACACAACAATCTGCAAGGTTCAGTACTTTGCCAAGGTCTCACCCTGGTCAGTGGTGGAACTAGGATTCCAACCCATGCTGTCTGGCACCAATAATGCCTCTCCCTCTCTCGATGGGGTTGCTTTGCTCCTCTAATTGACTGGTCCTGATGACTCTCTATGATGGGGTTTACCTCCATGTTTGCAGTTTTTTTTTAACTGAGGACTTAAAGTCACATTCCATAGGTAGCTAGAGGCAACTAAATGTGAAAGTCTGATATGTCTGACTCAACTGTGTCACCTTGAGGCTGAGGTCATGGCACCTGCAGAAATGAGCTCATGCTGAGCCATACATGGCATGAGACCCTCACCTGCAGCCTCTTTGCTCTAAATGAACCTGGCTTGGAAGAGAAAGAGAAGTATGTGATCAACTCCACCAATCAGGAAACATTGCAGTGACAGTCCCCGCTCCTATGCGGAGTGCTCTGGCCTTCCCAGAGCACAGCCACCCCCAGCCCACCCCCAGTGGAGACTGAATGGAAAGGAGCTTTGTGACAGGACCGTGGTCTTCAGTCCAGCACTTTGCTGCCCACATTTGATTCCTGCTCTCTCCGCGAGATCCGCTCCCTGCCCCAGCTCCACTGTTCCTGCCCCTCACATGACTTCTTGTGTGTGCCCACAGGGATTTACCTGTTCAGGCCAGAAAGCTGGTGGATCTGATGAAGAATGACATGGCAAGTCTGGGGGAGGTCCCACCTGGGACAACTTGATGGGTAGAACTCCCCCGAACAGGAAGTGGGCAGGAGAAATCCATGGAGATAGAGGGGTCTCATCTTTGTGGGGAGGACAGGGCCATGTGGAAGACCAAGAGTCTTCCTTAAGAAAAAAGAAAGATTAAGCACCTACTACCTGTGACTTATGACCTTAGGACCCCAAAACCAAAAAGCAGAAAATACTAACACCCACTAAACCTTCCAGCATGTGGGGACACACTGCTGCCAACACTCAGCACTCTGTATTTTCCTTGACTTGCCTCTGGGACAAGGCATTTACTTGTTCGTTTCCTATTTTCATTTTAGAAGATCAATTTCCAGGAAGATTGGAAGATAATAACCCTGTTTATAGGAGGCAACGACCTCTGCGATTTCTGCGATGACCCAGTAAGTCACCAGGCCCTTAACTCAAGACTCCTCCCAGGGAAGGATTTCCACCCAAGGTCACTGGAGCTGTGAGGCTGGGTGGGGACTTGGGGCTTGTGATCTGGCATGGATCTAGCCTAGGATGAACCCTAAGACCCAGAGGGCATTCACCTCTGGGGAAAGATTCAACAGGACAAGCAGAACTGGTTATGAGATTGATCCTGATAAGGTTTCCAATCAAGGGAACCTGATCATATCATTCTAGAAACAAAGATAACATTCCAATGATCTAGAAAAACCTGGTATATCTTTATAGGTCTTTATCAGTCAGCACCTTTCTCCAGGATTGAACTGCCTAACTGTCTCCACCTTAACACTGTCACTTGTCCAGAAAAGTTGATTTCCTAATGCAGGCATTTAGGTAAAGTTGGAGCCAAGTCATCCTGGGCTGATGGGAAATCCAAAAGCCAGGCTTTCTGCCCTGTGAGTAGAGGGCTTCCTCCTGGAACTCCAGAATCTCTGATCTGGAAGAAACCCCTCCAGCCATACTGAACAGTCCCAGCTGTAGCAGAAATGTCTTCCCTAGAAGCCAGTGGCAGCTGAACATCTTAGCCACAGGCAGCCCTTTAATTTGCTAGGTAGCCCTACTCAGTATTATGAGCAGGTGCAAAGTTTTGTCTTGTAGTATTTCTTTGTCTGAAGCCCGGATCAGCCTCCTTGGAGCTTCTGCCTCATCTGCCTGTGCTGGCAAGCCTGTACCTCTTCTATGTTCAATTTAGCTGACTTTGAAAATAATAGTTTGGGGGTTTTTGTTGTTGTTGTTTTTTTTTTTACTTTACGAGCAGTACACACAGGAAACACACCAAGGAAAGAGAAAAAAATATTCTCCATGATTACAACATCCAGAAAGGCTATGGTTAACATCACTTTGATAAACATCTCTCTAACATTTTCTGTGAATATGGAAACATTGCTTTGTCATTGTTGAAAAAATAGTGTCAGTTAGAAAATAGTCTGGTAATCTTCTTTTTTCAATAGTGATACATTGGGAGGATATGCCCATGCCAATATTTATTCTTCTACAAAAATAATTCTTAATGATTCTATATAACCTACAATTATAGATTGGCCATAATTTACTTAATTATTCCCAATTATTGGATACTAAGCTTACATTACATCTGCTTATGCCTATTATAAATAACACCAGTGTAAACATCCATCTTCATGTACAGGTATAATTGTTTCCTGGTATATATTCTAAGTAGTAAGATTTTTAAGCAAAACAATGCGTACATTTCCCCCAGTGTTTTTAATGAAAATTTCCAAACATACTGAGATATTTAGAGTATAGTGTAGGAAAGGCCCATATACCCACCACCTAGATTTTACAGCTAACATTTTGCAATTTTAACATATATCCATTCATCTTATTTTTTGGTGATTGCACATTTTTAAGGCTTCGAGTACATATTGCCAAATTGCTCCCAAGATAGCTGTACCAGTTATGCCTGTTTCCCCACACTGTATCAGCAATGTATGTTATTTAGTAGTTGCTAATCTGAAATGAAAAAATTTTTCTTGTTTTGCATATGTGCATTTATTTGATTACCAGGTAGTAATAAACTTTTATTTCCCTTGCTTAATGCTCATGCAAATTTCGCCTTTAGACAAATTCTATACTATGCTTATTGGCCATTTTCCGTTAAGGTATTTATTTTTTTCTGACTGATTTGGAAAAACCCCTTCTATTAAGCATACTCCCCCTTTGTCAAATATGTTGCCTATTTGTTGTTTTCCATTTAATTTTGTTTACAGTGTTTTCTGATAAACAGAACGTTGTCTGTTTCTAGTATCATTTGCTGGGCATGTCTTATATGCCAGGCACTATACTAGGAGCTTAGAGATGAATGAAACATAGGCTCTGTCCTCAAGGAACAGACCAAGTATGGAAAACACCCCACGTGGCTCTAGTGAAGCTCACAGAAGTCAGAACTGCCATGGAATTTGACATGGAGATGGGGGGTGCCAGAGGTTTACACAGAGCAGGGGATTTTCCAGCTGGGGCTTCAAGATGGGGATGTTTGTCAGGCAAAAAGACCAACAGAGCAAAGTTTAGGAAGCGGTCAGTCTTGCTGTGCCCCTGGAGTCCTTGCCTCAAGAAGCGACCCTGCCCCCAGGCCCTTCACAGCCTACTTTCCTGGCATCAGAGTCACTGGGGCCCTGGGGTTTCCAAGCTGTGATGTGAACATCCTGCAGTGGGGCCTCAGGCTGCTGGGGCAGGGTGGAAGGGAAGTGGGACCTCGGGCCTCACCCCACTTCTTGAGCGCTGCAGCTTTGATTGGTTTGGTAGAGCAGTGTTCTTGGTTAGATCTCATTCAGAGAAATGAATCTTTTGCTTTAAAAAAGTTTAGGAACCATGAGTATCAAAATCAGCAGAAATAACCATTAAAATGTGTTTGGACTTCAGAGACGGAATTGCCCCTTCCTCTTACGATCTCTCACCTCCTCAGGTGATCTGATTGGGCTGTGGGCGCCCAGGCGCAGGGGGCCCTAGGCAGAGGAGGTCAGGGCCTAGGACCACAGAAAGGTCAACTGCTCCACCACCCCACCTTAGAGGGGTCCAGAGGTGTGACGTGCTTTAGCTGAAGCCCTTTATCTAGTCACTGTGAAGTGGATTCAGGGCTTTCCATAGCTCCATGCAGAAGAAAGAGTGTTTCCCTGAGGGTCACAGCCCAGGGATGGTGGAGTTGGTATGGAGGCTGGGGCCCCCGAGGCAAACCTATGTTTCAGTGCTTCCCAGTCTACCTGAAACACAGGAAGGAGGGGGCCCAAGAGAGGAAGCAGCCCTGGTCTGCAGAGAGGCTGGGTGATGAATGGTGTCAGACATTTCCTCTTCCCACAGGTCCATTATTCTCCCCAGAACTTTGTGGACAACATTGGGAAGGCTCTGGACATCCTCCACGCTGAGGTACATGCCTGGGCCATGTGGCTCTGAGCAGCTCACACAGTCCTTCTACTGGGGCCTCAGATAGCCTGGAGGCAGCTCGGCTGCCTGCTGAGACCTCCCTGCCAAGCCCCCTTTCCCCGGAGACCCGCCCTGACCATGCTGTCAGGCGGGTCCCAGCATCTGAACAAGTAGGTGTTGATGGGGCACGGAGGGGAGGGAGGAGGCTGGGACGAAGGAAGTGGCACGGGCCAGATGAGATGAGGGGCCACAGACCTGACATCTGCAGAAGGAGCTGGCCCTGGGCCCTGGTGAGAGACGGGAACCGCCCAGCTTTGACCTGCGTGGGGAGTGACCTTGCCTTTGTTCAGGTTCCTCGGGCATTTGTGAACCTGGTGAAGGTGCTGGAGATCATCAACCTGAGGCAGCTCTACCTGGAGAAGAAAGTCAGCTGCCCGAGGATAATCCTCAGGTGGGATGGAAGCTTCCCTGTTGTTCCCCAAAGGGCCAGGGCCCCTAGCAGAAAGGGACCGATGCACTAGGAGACCTAAGGGTGTGAGGCATGCTGCGACCACCCCATTTTCTAACCTGACAAGGCCAAGTGGAGGGGATGTCCCAGGGCTTCTGCAACCCCAATGTGGCCTTAGCTACCTTTGGGGCGTGCCCTACAACCCAGCCCACTTCCATTGTGGTGGCAGCTCAGACACCCTTCAGTCCTCCAGGCGAGAAGAAACAACAAGCCTGAGGGGTGGAGCGGACCTGGCTCCCTGGCCGCTGCTGAGCCTACTTCCCAGGGCGCCCTGAGCTTCCCGCCCTGCCCAGCCCACCCAGAGGCCCATCTCCAGAACAGAGGGAGCTTCACTTTGGTGTGGGTGCTCCAGGCTGGGCTTTCACAAATGCAGGGCTGATGCCACTTGCTAGACAAGAGGGTGATCAAATCAGAATCGGTCTAGAGGATAGTTTTCCCCCAAGAACACAGAGCCCCGGTCCCGGGGAGGCCCCTGGGAGGCCTCCTGCATCCTCAGTCTCCAGAGGCAGACAGACGTAGCTCCCTCTCTGCTATTACGCATCTCCACGAGCCTCAGGAGGAAGACCTCCTCCTAACCCATTCCTACCAGGCCTCCTCTGGACCATCAGACCAGGTCACCGTGCTGATAACCCCCTCCCCACAGCTCTGTAGCTCCCTATGGCCCCTCTCCTAGCCCCGAGCACATTGTGTGGTACTTACTCATGGGCCTCTCCCCCACAGCCCTGGGCACAGCCCCACTGCTAGCACAGCTTGGGGACTCCCTGGCTGTTTGCTGAATGACTGGATGAATAATTCACAAGGGTCAGATTTGCTCTTGGAAATTAAGGGTATCTTGGCTGCTCCCCTGAAGATCCATGCCAAACCTCACCTGGGGCCCCAGATTGCACGGGTCTGCTTGGGAAGGCCTGAGGTCACTGTGGGCAGAGAGAGGATGGCTGCTGGATGACACACCTCCAGACACAGCTGGTGTCAGCCACTGACTCTTCCCCTGGCTCCCGCTTCCTCCAGTCACTGGGCCACACAGGTTTCAGTCTGTCATTCCATTTCAGAGCAGCTCCCCCAAAACTCCTACTACCCATCACTGCAGAGTTTTTCAACTATTAAAGCTAAATGTTCAGAGCTGGCATTTGCCAGGTCTGCTCTCAGATCGGAGATGGTCAAGTCTCTGACTACCAGATCAGGCAGCATCAGGGACGTCTTGTCCTGCTGCCTCTCGCTGCTCTGTCTCTCCTCTGCACTCCCTGCCTCTCCTCTGTTCTGTCTCAGTGGTTGGGCTTCCCTTGGTGGTACAGAATCCACACTATTGTCGCCTCATCCCCCTGGACCAAAAGCCCAGATCTGCAGATTGACAGACTGGACAGATGCAGATTAACTAGGGATGATGAACTCAGGTTCACACCAGCCAGGCTTGAGTGCAGGTCCTGGCTCTCACACTCAGCATCCATGTGACCTTGAGCCTTAATTTTCTTATCTATAAAATGGGGATGAGAATACAACTTCTTGCATAGCTAAGATGCTTAAACAAGTTCATACCCATAAAGCTCCTGACTCAGCAAACAGTCAATATGTGTTCGCCATTAGTATTATTATCACTTTATTTCAAAGGAAGCGCGCTCTATCTGTACTGCACTGTCCTCAGACTGTCCTCACAGAACTCAGCTCCATGAAAGTCATTCCTGCAGATGTTGAAAGAAGTAATTATTTCATTCTCACAAGCAAATCCAGGCCTGGGAAATCCTTTTAGCTTCATCTGGTACAGTTGACGGGTTAGCCAGGCAGCTATTAGCACAGCCTTCTGATGCCTGCGAGTTAAATATGTTCCACGTCTCAAGCCCATGTTTCTGCATCATGCATGCAGAATGTGGTTCTGGTGGGGTGAGGCATCTCTTCTGCTTGGGCTGCAGGTCTCTGTGTCCCTGTGTCCTGAAGTTTGATGATGACTCAGCAGAACTGGCCTCCCTCATCGAAGTGAATAAGAAGTATCAGGTGAGCTGCGAACGGGCTCCAGGGCCACACGGGAGCTGCCGTGTGCCTTGATTGCTGTGCTTGGAAAATGAGTACATGCTTATGTATTTTGACCCCCAGTGGGTGTGCGGTTACTACTGATATAAAGTTCACTGATATAAAGTTCACAGATATAAAGACATGCTTTGAGGCAGCAGGGACTATGGTTCGGTTTATTCTATTCAAGCTATAGCATCAAGTCCCTAAATATGCTTCACCAAATCTCAGTTCCTGGCCTTACAGGGGAACAAATATTATAATTGTCCATGAAGAACGTGTAGGATTTTCTCACCCCCAGGTGGGAAACCCCTTCTGCCTGAGAGAACCTGGAGGGTTCAGTGAGGTAACACATCCCCTCGGCCCTCCCCTCCCAGGGAACAGGTGCTTTTGAAGAGCACAGGGAGAAAGAGTCAGCAGATTATCTCCAAACATCTTACGGGTTGTTCATTAGGCCTTTCCCCATCAAATCTTTGACCAGAGAAGATGACTCCCTCAACTGTCTTGAATTTTCCCCCAAGTAACCGTCCAGCCACTTAAGAGAAGAGTGGGAGCCTTCAGCTCCTCTCGACGGGGCTGCAAACAGCTTCCAGGGCGGATCCATCCTTCATGTTCATTAACTCCGTGGAGCAGATCCACCCCCCTGCAGACTCTTTAAGGGCAGCCACACCTGTCAGGGGTGTCAGGTCTCAGGAGAATGGACCTCTATCAGCCCCTGACCCCATTGCCCAGCCCTCGGGGTGACTCCCCAGCTGCACTTCTGCCATAAGCAGGCACAGTGAGTCTCTGGTGAGGATGTCTGTGGAGCAAACCTGTCCCAGCTCAGGTGCATGCGCACAAAGGACAAAAACTAGATGCAACTCTGGCTAATTTAAGCAAATTGATTATTTAAGCAGAATATATTAATTAATATAGAAGAGCTAGAAAGCTAGAGTCAGAGACAAAGCCACCAGAAATCACAGAATCACAAAAGTCTAGGGGCTGAGCCATAAGAATCAAAATCAGACCAAGGAACTAGTCCAGAGACACCATGGACACTACTGTCCCAATGCTTCTAGGAAACAGTTGTGGCTGCCCCCTCAGCAGAATGGATTGTGTGCTGGCCAACTTTCTATCACCAGCTTCCAACCCAAAGTTTAAGGCAGGGGCATCCATGGGGGACCCTAGGGCATGTGCCCATGTAGTTTTCAGGGACATTAGGAAAGCCAGCATTTGTCTTTCTCTCCTTCTGCAGAGGGAGGCAGGCTGCTCTTGCTGCAGTGGAGGTTTTCAAACACAGTAAGCTGGTTCAAATGCTGGGCAACAAAAAGGAAAACTTTAGACCATACTTGCCTTCACTGATCCTCTAGATTAACCCCTGTTCCCAGGCCTGATCTTGGTTGCCACTGAGAGCCTGATCTAGTGTCCCAGAGAAGCTTATAGCTCAGCCAGGTGAGGCTATCATGCCATCTTGCAGAATCCTCTCACTCCCTACTTCCTGCAAAAGCTATGGTTCCTGTCATTGCTATTAATAACCACTATGTGCCAGGCATTCTAGACACTATTTCCTTCATTTCCCAAGTAGTGATGGTTCTACTGTAGCCACTGTGGCTGATCCATGGAGTAACAAGGAGTACTGGAACAACTTGCTAAACATCCTACATTTACAGGTGGGGAAATAAAGGAACAGAGAGGGAAAGTGTATTGCTGAAGTCACACAGCTAGTTAGTTAGTGGAATGGCCCCTGCTGCCTTCCTCAGGGCTCTGCCTGAAACTGGAGGAGACTCTCCCAGGAAGCCAGAGGTGTGGCATCCCCAGCACAGACTCTGTCTTTCTGGCTGACCCTGGAAAAGAAATGCATGGTATTTTTTAAGTGATGGCACTAATGTTCCTGGGTGTGTAAGCCTGGCTTCCCTCTCCAGCCAGGGAGCTGGCCCCAAATGGTGGAACCTTGCAAGTGGTGGCATGGCAGAGTCTGGCAGAAGTGGGTGCCAGAACCCGGGTAACTGGTTCTTTTAGAACCAAGCCCAAGTGGAAGCTGGGAGAATAACAGCTCTGTTACCCTCCTAGACAGATCTGAGATTCTCCAAGAACTGTGCTGTACAGGAGCATGTGTGCTCACACACACACACCACGCACAAGCAATACACAGAGGCATTAAGTGGTGATTCACTTTTGGTTTTCTAAACAAAATGCAGGACAGAAATAAATATAAGGATTAGCCAAAAAGGTCAATTATTGAAATATGTACCTGGTCCCTACTTCTCCCCACCCATCCTCCAGCCTTTAATCAGAAGCCTTAAAGGGGAATCAAGCTGATCCACTTAGGTTTTTCCTTCCCTTCCCTTTTTGACAACCTGGGTCAAATATATGCAACTGCAGCAGAGACTAGCAGCAGGGGTTGAGATAAAGGCTCATCTAAAAAGTAAATGGTTGGCTCCTGATCAGCTGAGATTTTGCTGCAGATTAATTTCACACAAAGGTCAGACTGTTAAATTCTATGGCAGAGAAAGAGGCCACACGAAGATGGAGCAGATGCACACAGGCCCCTGACCCCTGTCACCCTTTCCTCCTGCAGGAGGGGACTCATCACCTGGTTGAGAGTGGGCGATACGACACAAGGGAAGATTTTACTGTGGTCGTACAGCCATTCTTTGAAAAAGTGGACATGCCAAAGACCTCGGTAAAGAAAGCAGGCCTTCTGGATAAACGGGAACCACAGAAGTGGACAGCTGTTTCTGAGCATCCCCTGTGTTATCTGGCATCGCCATAACACGGCCCCTTTTTCTGCCCTGTGACCAGGAGGGGTTGCCTGACAGCTCCTTCTTCGCTCCCGACTGCTTCCACTTCAGTAGCAAGGCTCATGCCCACGCAGCCAGCGCCCTCTGGAACAACATGGTAAGATGGCTCACGTGGGACAAGTGATTCCTCCCCTGAGAAGAGAAAGTCTCAGGCAAGCTTTCGGGGGACCCCTGAGGCTGCATGACTCCCCACCCAATGGTGGTGACAAGGCCCTTCCCCTCCGTCTCTTGCTCCCTTCTCCAGCCCTGACCTGCGTCCTGGCCTTTCCCATCTCCTTCCCTCTTCCTCACTCCCCATCTCCTGCTTCTTGGTTTAGCTGCAACCTGTCGGCCAGAAGACAACTCGGCATAATTTTGAAAACAAGATCAATATCACGTGTCCCAACCAGGTAGAGTGGAAGCTCATCTTTGTGGTGGATTCACCTCAAGCATCTTTTCTAGTCTTCTAAAATCTCTGATTAAGGTTTCTCATGCATTTCGTCCCAGATTCTCACCCCAGCGCCAGCTCTGTTTACCTATCTGCCCACTGCAGACTCCACTTAAGCATTCCCAATGCCCTATCTTCTTAGACTGTGAGGGACAACAGTCCCCAGCATCTTGGAGGCCCTAGGGTGCTGCTCCACCCCTCCATGGGCAGGGAGCCCCTGCATGCAGCTCTTTCCAGCCAGGAAGGGGCACATGGCTGCACCATCTGGCTCTCATATTGAAGACTAGGGATGGGAGAGATTGTCAAGGGCAGGATGGGACAGAAGGGTACCCTGTCTCCATGTAGCCACTGCCTCCATGGCAGGATGGAAAGAGCAGGGAACTGAGACCTGGACTAGTAGCTGCTAGGACAGAGTTTGGGGTGGCAGAGGGTGGGAGTTGGAAGCTGGAGCTAGGAAAGGAGACAATAACTGGGAAGGCAAAGCAGAACTAGACCCCCCAATTCACTCATAAATTGCCCAATTCTTGGACCTCAAAGCACCTGACTCTTCTTGCCTGGGCAGGAAGGATGCCAGGCTGCTGCAGGGTGGGAGTGGCATGGGGTGGGGGGTGGATGGGAACCTAGGGAGTAGGGGACACAGGTTTGTAGTAGCAGAAAGTGGTGCTCTGTTAGGAGGGAGAAAGGTCGAGAAAGAGGTGACCAGCCTCCACAACCAGCTGGGTAGGAGGCAGAGAGCAGAGGGGCTCACTCCTGGGGGCCACTGAAGGGCTCATTCTAACTGTTCCTGCCATTTGGGCTGCAGAGAAAGCCCCAGTGCACCCTGGGAGGGGGCCCACAGCAGTCAGCTTGGCAGGGAGGGGATTGGGAATGTGGAGCAGGGTAGGCTGAGAGTGTGGGAAGTGCTTGTGCCTGAAGTAGTACTTCTTGAAGGCTGGCAGCGGACAGCAGCTCAGGAGGTGAGCTGAACACACTGTAGCGGCTCCTTCCTCCCCTTCTTACAGGCCTGGCCCTTCCTGAGCACCTACAGGAACAGCGTGCAGGTAACCCCTTGTTGCCTTTCTGCTCACAAGCCAATGCAGCGGGCAGCCCCAGAGCCAGGACTAGCTCAGCTGGGCAGGTGGGGATGTGGGTGAGGGCTCCTGATGGGCAGCCAAGGGGCTTTAATACTATTTTATAAAATCCACCCACCTACACCTGTTCAGACAGGGTGGAGGGCAGAGTAAGCTCCACTGATAACAGCCTGGAAAGGGGGCCAGCCAGTTAAATCACAGCCTCTTGAAAGGTGGAAGTGAAGATAACTGTCCTCAGAAAGCGGCTGCAGAAGCAGGGCTGGGGTGGGATGGGGTTGCATTGTTTGGTTGATGCCCCAGTTCTCGCGCTGGATGGGGGAGGGGTGTGAACTAGGTCAGCAGATCCCAGCTTGGCTGAGACTCCAAAGCACCTACGGAGGCCTCTTCTTCAAATGCCCCTCTAGGCCCCTTCCCAGGGGGCCCAAGAGTCTGTGTGCGTTAGAGCTCTCTGGGTGAGTCTGATGCCCAGCCATTCTCTCTGGTCCCTTTCCACACTGTGATTCTGGGATTCATTCAATGCCCTTAGGGTCATGGGAGCCAGCTACTGTGTGAGGACAGGATGCCTTCTGCCTCGCCGCCCACCTCGGGTAAGCTTCTATCACATACCAGGACCCACGGTTCCCCCGCAAGGAGTCAGCGGCCACTGAGCGCTCTGACAAGACTTTCATATTTAACTACATGACACTCATGGCTGGTGCTTGCTCCCCATCTGGATAGTCACCTGGGACAAGGCCCTGCTTTATGCCCCTCCACCCTGTAGGGTCCACAGCGGCCAGGCCAGAAACCAGTTGCTGCCCTCCCAAGTCAGCCCATTAAAGGGAGGCCATGAGCTCCCCCTCAGCGGCCCACCCTGTGGTGTGACCTCACCAAGGCCCAGAGGTGGGGATGGGTGCCCAGAGAGTCCCATGGGGAAGCCAGGGCACATCTGGTCGCACACTCAGGCCACAGCTGGTGTCCCACGTGACCCCTGACCCTTAGTGGTGGGATTCCATCTGCCTTCTCTGCCACCCCTCATCCTTCCCTCCCCATCTCAGCACTCTCTCCCTCACCCCATAGGTCCAGGGTTGGTTTATTGTGTTTCTTATGGGGAAACTGGCTTCATAGGACCTCTGCCCCATGACCCCAAGGACACCCAGTCTTGCATGGCCCAAACACACTCACAGGTCATGGTTCTCATCTTGCTTAGAGCAAGAAGCACTAGACTCTGACTACAGCTTCCTTCCCACAAACACAAGTGCACTTGTCTTTCCAGTGCATGCCCTGAGACCCGCAGATATCCAAGTTGTGGCTGCTCTGGGGGATTCTCTGACCGTAAGGACTCCTGGGCCCTGGGTGGGGTGGGGTGGGGTGGCTGCGTCAGTTCCAGGTCCCAGTTCCCCTGAGTCGGGGCCCTGCCCTCCTGATCTCCGCATTACCCTTCCCCTCTGTCCTGGCTCTGTCAGTCCACGAGCATGACAGTGGTTGGATTTTGCAGCCACTTTCTCAATCAGGCGTGCAAGGGGAAGTGTTTCTCAGGAGTGAACTGAATTGTCTCAGTGGAGGTTTTGAACACCTAACAACACTTTTAAACAATTGAAAAAATATGTCATTTTGGCTTAAAAAATTTAAACCTACCTTTGGCTACTCTTTTCCCTTTGGATTATGCTTTACACACAGCTCAGAGCCTCACATCTGTTTCCTCTTTGCATATTCACAGAAAGCAGCAAAGACCATAGTGGAGGCTAAAGTTCTACTCTTAAGTTCCAAGAAATAGGGGTATTTCACCATCCCAGATCACCACTTCCTGGCAGCACTTCTAAGGCCATGAGAATGCCAGAGGGAAAAGGGGAGAAAAGTGAAGTTTCTGAAAAATCTGTCTACTGCAGTCCACTTAAGCCTATAGACTCTTTCTTCATGCTTTTAAAGAATCTAAGAGCATGACGCAGGTGGTAATGATACACCAGTGTCTCACATTTGCAAAGCACTTTAGAATTTTCAAAACTGTTTTTATAACTATGATCCAGTTTGGCCATCAAAACAGTCCTGTGATATAAGCAGAGCATGTCCTTGGTTCAGCAAGGAGGCAGCTGAGATTCAGGGAAGGTACACAACTGGGAAGGAGTCTGGCAGAACCCAAACCTGGTCTGCTGACTCCCCACCTGGTGTTCTGCTCATGCCACCACCACCGTGAGTGCCTTGGGAACTGCCTGTGTAAGACCTGCACATACACAGCCTCCCTTTTCTGTGACTTGCTGATTCTCTTGTGGATTTGGTGTGTTTTCAAAGGCTGGCAATGGAATTGGCTCCCAACCAGATGACCTTCTTGATGTCACTACTCAGTATCGGGGGCTGTCATATAGGTAATGTTACCCCTTTCCACCCATGCTCACCCCCAGAGATTGGGTGGGGGTTTGTCTCTGATAAATGAATAAGAGCAAGGACCAGGTTTGGAAGGGGCTTTCAGAAGGAAAATGTGATCATATGATAAGTAGAGTGGATATTTACTGTCAGTATGTTTTTCTTTCTTAGTTATTCAGAAAAAGAAAACTAGGGTTCTTATCAGACTCCTGGGTCAACAAATCCAGCATGAAATGCACCCAAAAAGCACCAAATCTCTGAGTCTTCCCCTGCCTATTTGTGTGTATATGTGCCTGTGTAGATGCTCCTATGTCTCTGTTTACCGTCTGTATGTATGTATTCATGTCGTTCGTAGTCACACCTCTGCCTTTATGTATATGTGCACATCTGTACAGAAAATTCAGAAATGCAACACACACTTCAGGAGGAATAACCAAGACAAAATCACAACCACAGGTGTGCTGTCCCCTGCCACGTGTCTGCACAATATGAGGCATTGAGGCAGGTGGGTGAGAGGAATGTGCAGGAAACAGAGGCAAACGCTCCTGCTCAATTGGCAAGTACTGTTTGCAAATACATGATGCCTGAGTGCTACAGGAATATAGGAGAGGGAGTAATTCACCCTGCCAGCAGGCAGAGAAGGTGGTACCACAATTATGTCTTGACAGATTAGCAATGAGATGGATGAGAAAAGGCATCCCAGACACAGAAGCAGAGAAGTTCCTGGTGGGTCAGGCGAGCAGTTAGATACGGGTATTCTGAAGTTTCTTTCTTTCCTAATAAAGTTTACCTTTATGTAGGCTTCATGGTAGCTGGCGATTAGCTCAGAATTCACAACTAGAACAAAACCAGCCACAAGAGGGCAGAGTGCTAATGAGAAGCTGGGTGGCCCCAAAACACGCCTGCTGCTCCTTTTCCTTCGGAGTGCATTCAAATGAAATGTTTCTTCTCAGCCAGTGAGAGGGAGCAGTGTGGGGATGATTAGCACTGGGACAACCGGGAGGACAGTCCAGAGAGAAAGGTTTTCCTGGGTGGGAGAGGCATCCTCACTCACCCTCAGAGAGGATGTGGGCAGGTCAGCATGAGGACCTCACCCTCCCAGAAGGGAGTCAAGGCCTCCAGCACCCAGGTCCTCCGGCATTCCACATCCCCTCAGCCAGGGAGGGGGTCTCTAACAGCAGCCACAGAACAGCAGCCTTGCCTCCTGATGGCTCTGCCCCCAGTGCTTCAGAGGCTGCAAGAAAAAGGAAAGCCAGAGGGAAAGAAGACGGATTTTTATTACGATTCAGGAAAAGCATGAGGTGGTGGCAGCTGCACTTAGTCTTAGCCAGAGAAGGCAATGGCCTCACATCCCAGTGTGGAAAATAGAAAACAAAGCAGACAAACCAGCCAGCAGATGATAGGTGAGCTCTGCCTGCGGAAGCAAGGTGATCTGCCCATCAACAGTTCAGCTGGGCAGATTCCTGGGATTCAGACACAAACAGGCAACTTCCTGCTACACGTTTCTCTGAGAATAGGAAAATTCCGCCATTGTTGTTTCTTCCTACAAGTGAGGTCCAGGAAAGCCTAATATTTCCATCTTCCAGTTCTAATTCCAAGACCTCATATATTCAATGACTGCTATCCCTTAAAACTCTTTATGTGCTCTAAATATTTCAAGCACCCACCTGTGTGTGAAGATGCACATGTGTTAAAGATGGGGGTGCTGGGCCAGAGTCTGAGGGACAGTCAGACACTTGGCAGAATAGTGTTTCCCCATGTGTTCCATGGAACACTAGCTCCCTGTGGGTTCCTTAAGAGGGCAAAATTATTTGCATTTTTGGGGAAACATTACCTACTGTATCCTTCCTCTGGCAACTTCACATGCATATTAAGAGTTCTGAGAAACTCTACAATGCAGAAATCTGTTTAAATTGCATCTGTTCGCACCAGTGTTTCCCTTTACCCCAGTATACTTTCTTTGTTCATGATACCTATTGGCATCCCTTGGGAAATGTCTATGTAGGAGGCTAATCTGAGGAAAGCAATTTTTTGAAGCCACTAAAGCTTCTGGATTAAGAATGCTATGGAATTAATAATTTTAGGTAAATTTGCAGTGTGAGCCTCTTCTGGGAAACAAAAAGCGGACAAAGCAGACCTCATAGACTTGGACAGGGCAGAGGATCCAGAATTTGGGGGAGGTGTGTGGCTATGAACAGGAAGTGCAGAAGTTAGGTTTGGTGGTGACGATTTCCCAGGCCCCTTGACCTGTGAGCAGCAGAGAGCAGTGAGAGGTTCGAGCTTTGGCTGCCTTAACAGTGCAGCAGACCCAGAGGTCTTTAGAGCATTGCTTTTTCTTCAGTTGAAATAAATTTGCTTGTTTGGCATCATTCAAAAGACTAAAATAAACTTTGCTTGCCAAAAAATGCATTTGTTTGACTTGTTAATTAGGAATTCAATCTCATATTACTGAGACTCTTTCAAGAAAGGGTGTTGAGCATCTACTCTGTATTTCTCTGTGCACTGTGGGTGAGAATGGATGAACAGCACCCAGCCTTGGAGCTCATGGTGTAAAATAAATCACGTTGCTCTGAAGGGTCTCATATGCACTAGCTGATTCATATGGATTGAGATTCTTTTGTGTTTCACATAGTTCTAGCCAAAGTGAGGGCGTAAATATTTTTGCTCCTTCATAATTATTTGTATAATTCCATTTTGTCCTGGAAATGTTCACTCTAAAATGGACTCAAGAGATCTCTGTGGTCTCGATCATCACCACACTTGTTTTAGAACAAAGATACTTTCAGGCAAGCAATTACAATAGAAAGTATTTGATGTGTATGTGCTCATGTATGTCTCTATGTTTGTGTTCATGTTTATTAAAGGAGAAAAGGAGGCAGTTAGAATACAGTGATTGGAGGAGGTATATGGATTTATAATTTCCTTCCAAGTGTAAAGTACTCTTATTAAGCGCATTTAGTACAAAGAAAGGAGAATCAGTAGGCAGCTAAAGCAGCTGCTTCATGCAGAGTTGGAAAAGAATTGGAAGTGCAAACAAAACATCCAACCACCGGCCAAGTTAGGTTCAGACATCTGATGGGAGGTGGGAGAGACACAGCTAAGTGCGGTAGAAGGGAAGGGCTCACCGGCTTCTGTCTCTCTACCCCTTAGGGCAGCCGAGCCTTTGACTTAACCGAGCCCTTGACCATGCTGGTATGAAGCAGTCACTCCACTCCAAGCATTTCCTTGACTTGAAAAGTCATGACTTTGATTCATGGCCTGTCCTTTGGAAATCTGTACCACTGGGATGGATGCTAATGCTGTGTTCTCAAATCTATTGGCTTGAAATAATATACTGAGATTGAGGAGGGAGGCACAGAAGAAAAATAACAGTAAATACAGTGCATCTGAACCCTGGACTTCGTTAAAATAGAAATACTTCTCTCCTTGCCTCCCACATGTATTCAATTTAAATGCATGGAAGGAAAGGAAATTTTTAGTGTGTTCTGAGGTTAGATTGAGAGCCATGAAACTAGATTTGAATAGGTAAAATCAGATTGGCCATTGGAAAAAGCAGTGGGAGGCCGTCCCCTGAACTTTCCAGAAAAATTTGCCTCGCCACTGAGCAAGAAGAGCGAATCCATTTTCTAAAGGTCTCTAGCTCCAGCTGACTTTTAGTTGTCTTTATGGTTTTTAGTTTCTTCTAGAAAGCGAATTAATCCCTATGCACCACAGCCTCCTACTTTATAAAATGGAGATCATCACATCTGCATCAGAAGCTTGTTTGGACATGTGGGATAATTAATGTAAGACTTGTTCCTGGCTGGGCACATAGGATATACTCAGCTTAGCGCTCTCCCTCCTGATTCAGTGGAAAAGAGAAACAGCTCTCTTTTGCCTTCAAATACTGGATTTGGGGACAACTAGGGGCTTTAAATTTTCTGAGAATCCCCCAAACACCACGAGAAGGGTCTGACACATTTTACAGGTGCTGATGACATGGGCACTAAGAAGGGTGGGGGCTCGCTTGTAAAGCGTCTGTACTGATTCCACCTCACTGATCTGCTCACTCCCTACAGTTCAGGAGGGGATGGCTCCCTGGAGACTGTGACCACTTTGCCGAGTGAGTAAAGAGATTCCATCTGAGCAGCAGGCTTCCTGAGAGTGCTTTCAGCTGAGCAAGGAGGAAGCAGCATCTTCCTCACAGAGTACCGCTGGGATGGGAGGAGAGGCCTGTGGACAGGTAGCTGAAGGGGGTAGACTAAATGCTTACTTGGAGCTGGAGACCTGGATTCCAGCCCCGGCCCTTCCGTGTGCTTGCCAGGTGACTGAGGGCCAATCACCAAGCATTCTGAGCCTCAGGTTTCCTCAGCTGGCCCAGAGGGTGTGGAAACAAATGAGACAGGGAGTATTCACTGCACTGTGAATTGTGAAAAATAAAAAACTGAGAGGCTCTTGCTGCTTTGGCCCTGTCATCAGGCCAACTCACAGAGACCCAGACTCCTGTCAGACCCACACACACACACACCCTCCCTGCCTCTTCCAGGCAGCATGAAGACGATAATGCAGTCTCCTTTGGGGACCCTGGGCCAGAGAAGATATCCTGGCCTTCCATCCCAAGCTCTCTCTGTCCTCTTCCAGATATCCTTCGGAAATTTAATAGAAATCTCAAAGGCTACGCGGTGGGCACGGGTGATGCCAGTGAGACAAATGCGTTTCTCAATCAGGCTGTTCCTCAAGCAAAGGCTGAGTATGGCATTCGGGGAGGGTCCTGTGGGGAGAGTGTGGGAGGCACATAGTTCCCCTTAAGATTGGAATACTGACCTCCACATGCAAAGAGGACACTCAGTGACTCTCAGAGGCTCTCAGCCACTCTCCTCCCTGGTTGCCCTGTGCCTAAGGCCCCCGCGGGGAGGTTGGAGAGGCTGGAACTCGGACAGGAGCCACATCCCGGGAGGCTGAACTCCTGACTTTGCTTCCCTGGGCAGCATGTTCTAATCATGCAGCTAACTGCCCGACCATATCCAATGTTTGAAGCTTCTCACGGCCTAATGGTACAAGAGAGATTCACTCTCTCCAAAGCCTCAGAAGTGGCGATTCCCCAAAAGCACATCAACTAAATGGATGGGCAAGCCAGAATCTCTAGACGTAGAGGCTTCTGGGGTGACAACTCGTGTCCTGTCCCTAGGCCTACCATGGAGCTAATAGGAGATGCTGGGGGGAAGCCAGAAGCGGCCGAAGCAGAACTGTTCAGCCTCTCAGGATGGACAGTGTATATTCCCCACCTCTTTCTAAAAGAAGGATTTAGTAGCTAAGTGTACAACAAAATAGCATATACATAAGAGAGAAAAATCACAGTCACTGGTGAAGCAGGGGAGGAAGAAGCAACTGTGTCAATAGGAGCATGTTTATGGTTGTGCCTGAGCATCAAACTCATGGCTTCCTGGCAGCCAGGGAAAAAAAGAGGAAGCATGCTAAAACTTTCACAGGTCTGATTGCAGGGTCTGCACCTGTCCCTCAAGGGGGACAAATGCTTTCCTAGCATGGGATCCTAAAAGACACTTTGCAGGTAGACTCCTGAAGAGGAGAGCATGGGTAACAGATAGAACGGCAGTCCCCTTGACTACAGCTCTAGGACAAACACACAGTTGGCTTTTCAAAAGGCTGTTGTAATCCTTCTCCAGAGCAGGCAAGCAGCTCCTTGCCCCCCTGAGCCTCAGGGTCTCTGCCAGTTCATACAATGGGGATAATGCCATGGAAACCCCAGGTCAGCCCCTTAGGAGGAAAACTCCAGACACTATCCCTCACCAGCACTGATCTCCTCTCCTTCCCAGGGAACTCACGAGCCAAGTCCAGACCCTCGTACAGAGGATGAAAGATGATCACGTGAGTCAGATTAATGGTTATTTTTAAACACTGATTTTCTAACCCACCAAAGTCCCCACATGAAATGGTCTGCCATGAAACACTGAGCCCCCTGTCAGTGGAAGGCAGCCCCTAACAGAGGGGATTATGTCAGTGGGAGGGTGGGACGGGGCTGCTACTGATCACAGTGACCTCAAAAGTCCCTCCTGAAGCTAAGGTTTTACGGTCTATAAATAAAACTCTTAAATTATTTCAGCTCTGAGATTCTATTATTTCAAGTGGGCAAGGAAGTCTTAGAGGGTTGAATGGGTTTCCCAGAGCTGTGGCACCTTTTTGTTGGTTGGGGACCATCCGGCATTTGCCCCCTCTGTGTAGAGCATGCGTTTCCACGAGGACTGGAAGGTCATCACGGTGCTGATCGGAGGCAGTGATTTGTGTGACTACTGCACAGACTCGGTAATGCGGGCGGGCCAGGCTTACTCACTGTTCCCGGCTTTGACCTTTAGGCCTTGGAGATCTCTGAGCACAGTCCCTAGAACCAACCCTAGGATTTTCCAACAATGCCTTGTGTGTGTGTGTGTGTGTGTGTGTGTGTGTGTGTGTGCATGTGCACATACACATACACATGAACACATGTGCACATACACGTGCTTCTTACCCAGCGGCCCTCAAGCTTCTGGCTCTACCTGCATGTCCCAGGTGTGAGGGAGCAGGTATATGTTGTCCCTACTCCCCTCTCTTACAATTCCTGAGAATCCAGAAAGAGAAGAAACTAAACCCAAGCAGCTGGAAGAAGGACTCAAAGGTTCCAGTCTTCTGACTGGCCCGTCTTTGACAACAGGGTAGTCGATTGTCAACTCAGATTCCGACAGGATAAGCTGGTCCCACAGGAGGCCAGAGAGGAGAAAAAGTCTTTGGGGTGAGCCAGGGTGGGGGCCTGCAACTGCCCCACCACCCTCTCCCTCTAACCAGCTCCTCGTCCCCGTCCTGTCTCTTCCCAGAATCTGTATTCTGCTGCCAACTTCTTCAACCGTCTCCGCAATGCCTTGGACATCCTGCATAGAGAGGTTGGTGGGGGTGGGGGCACTCCCTCAAGCTGGACACAGCTCAAGCATGGTGGGGGGAATGGTGGGTGGGGGAACGAAGGTGAAGTGTCCCCTCCCCTGAAGGGGACAGCCAAGGGCATGGGCTCCTTATCTTCCCCGAGTTTGGGGCCTACCCCCAGGGAAGCCTCATTCCCTTTGGGTTGCCCAGAAGGATCCCAGACTTGGAGAAGAGAAGGCAGTGTGTACTAATTGCCCCCCAGCCCCACCTGGGGCACCCCCTGGTGGCAGCTGAGTGCTCCCAGGCTAGGCACTGACTCTGAGCCATAGGGTGTGTCTAGAGCGACCGTCTCTGGTCCTGTGCCCAGCAATGTGTTCTCTCCCTGCCCTGGCACGGGCGGACCACCCTGGCTGCCTGGAAGGGAGCTCTCGGGTCACCAGTTGCCTCCCTGGTGTTTGAGACCCCAGGGCTGCCCCACGGAGTCCATGGGCTTAAAGGAAATGATTGGGAGATAACATCCTGCTAAGCAGGGCAGCTATCTCACCAGATCTAGAGCTCCCTAGCTGATGGCTAAACAGAGTGGAACGCCCAGCATGTAGATGCAGGCCTGCCATGCTGTCCCACTCCAGGAGGCACCACGTGGGCAGCATGGCCCATAGGGTCCTTTGGTACCCCTGTGTAAGTGCCTCCCCAGATCTCTGCTCAGGGCCAGCTGAGCTAGAGTTCCACAGGGATCCCCACTTCTCAGGACCCTCAGGCAGCTCGAGGGAGATGCCCCCTGGGGCCCCTCTCCCATCTCCAGCCTTGCCTTCAGGTCCCCAGAGCCCTGGTCAACCTCGTGGACTTCATGAACCCCAGCATCATGCGGCAGGTGTTCCTGGGGAACCCAGACAAGTGCCCGGTGCAGCAAGCCAGGTAGGCAGGGGCCAGCTGCCCCAGCAGGAGGCGCACTCACCCCTGGTCTGGCTCATGCAGCTGTGACTCCTGTGTCTCTTGTCACAAATCTATAAAGGGGGTCTTGTGCCAGGATCACCGCCTGCTGGGAAATTGGAGCCATGCCCTTCCTTACCCAAATCCAGGGCACCAGCAGGGACCTCTGTGATATGGGAGAGTCCTAGGGGGAGAGATCAGGGTGGGGACAAAAGCCGGGGATTGAGAGACAGTGTAGCCCAGCCTGTGAGAAGGGGCAACATTAGGGATGTATACGTACACGGCCAAACTGAAACAAAATATGAAGTGACCCACATGATTCAGTTTACTTTATGGGAAGAAGCAAATTAGGGAGGAACACAAGGGAACTTCAGATTGGGAGTATTTTGTTTCTTAACCAAACACTAGATGACAGTTACTCGGGTATGTATTTTATTATTCTTCATACCATATATATACATTTATTTATTTAACAAATACTTGTACAAACTTACTGTACACCAGGCACTATTCTGAGTGCTTTAGGGATGACATCTTTTATATCTTTATGTATATTTTATGGGCATGAAATAATTCATAATAGAAAGGGACAGTAGGGTACCAGTGTGAGGTATGTGGGGCATGAGCATCAGAGGCCCCCAAACACCAGCTCCAATATCAGAGGTTGCATTTTTATTTTATTTTTAAAATGTAAACATTGAATTTTCATTGCCTACATTCATTTGTTCATCACAAGTGCTGCAGGCCCAGTGCTGGCAGCCCAGTGCTTGTACTCTGTTAACATGAGAGGGTGTGCTTGAGACTTGAGTCCTGGGCAGGCCTGCAACCCGCCCCTCAGCATGTGTGTCAGAGCCTCATGTCACATACTCCGGAACCAGAGCCACCCTATGCAGCGGAGCCTTGGCTCCGGCCCTCACGCCAACTTCTCTCTGCACAGCGCTCTGTGTAACTGTGTCCTGACCCCTCGGGACAGTTCCCAAGAGCTGGCCAGGTTGGAAGCCATCACCCAAGCCTACCAGGTGAGACCAGGAAAATCACCCTTCTATGTTCTGTCCCCCGACTCAGTCAACACAGCAGTGCAGAGTGCCCTAGGGAGGCACGCAGGAAGGAGGAGCTGTTCAGGATTAAAGGGCTGGCACCACCACCTGGGCCCCTGCCTCTGCCCACTTCTGAAGTGCCTCCAGCATCCCGGGTAGAGTCATCACAAAGGAATCCAGGTGGCAAACCCTCATGGGCCAGCTGTGCCTGCTGGCTCACCACCAACTCTTGGCCTGAAGAGGCAGTAGCCCTGGGCACCCCATGCCCACCCTCGTTGCTCCCTGCTGGCCAGCTGCCCCCATCCTCAACACAGGCCACAAATACAGAGATTGTACGTCCTGACCTCGGGGGCCCTCTGGGGACTCTTCCCAGGGTTTTATTCCTTGTGGTACTTCCTCCCTGGCCCTTCAGAGCTTGTAGTTCACTTACAGCAAAACAAAAAGGTAGACTCAACCTGTTTCCCATTCTCTGGAAAGAGATTTGCAGTCAAGTGCCTCTGTGTCCTCAAGGGAAGAGCTGAGCTGGCTCCTTGGCTAGAGAGCTGAGGGAGTAGAGGCTGCCCGCCACCCACACCCTGCGCCCTCTGGGCTCTCAGGCCACCCAGGGCCTCGTGCTGAAGGTGCCCCTGCGTGTGTCCCCAGAGCAGCATGCGTGAGCTGGTGGAGTCGGGCCGCTACGACACGAGGGAAGACTTCTCGGTGGTGCTACAGCCATTCTTCCACAATGTCCAGCTGCCCATCCTGCCGGTATGCTCCCTGCCCTCCCTGGTGACCCTGGAAGGGAGACGAAATTCAAGACAGAGATGCCAAGTGCTCCCAGGGAGTGTGAATAAAATGGGAAAGACACAGGAAGCTCTCCCGGGGCCGGGGTGGTGGGTGCAGCCTCCGTGAACATCTGAACTGCATTCCCAGAGGCTGCCTGGCATGGAGTGTCCTCAGTACTACTGCCAGCAGCTCCTTTTCATGGAACTAGGCCTACTGTGTGCCAGGCACTGTGCTTGCCACACATAAAGTCACACACTGCCTTTTGAGGTGTTTTATCATCCCCATATACCAGAGGCTCAGAGATAGGAGTTGCCTTCCTAAAATCATATAGGAAACAAGGGGCAGAGAGGCAAGATTTAAACATGCCCAACTCCAGATTATTCACTTTCCGCCACACCCACAACACTGCAGCAATAAGAGAGGGTGCTGGGTCTCCATTTCCACCCCAACACTTCTGTCCGAGCAGAAGGACACTGTGAGTGGACCAGGGTGGCGACTTGGTTCTGTCCCCTGGGCCTCCATCCTAAGCACCTCACTTAATTGGAGGGAAGCTGGGAAAAGCTTTGAGCACACCCCTCCCCCACTGCCTTAAGAGAGGGAAGATGGCACACTGCCCTGCTATTGGCTTTGCCCAGGCCTGCCACAGGCTCGGCCCCTTTCTCCCCACCAAGACCACTGGGCCCAGTTGGCCAAGGGCTTTTCCCAGCTGGCCGGCCAAGACTTCCGCAGGGACTAGGATCTCATTGCCTCAACCATGGCATGGGCTAGGGCATTGCACAACTGGGCCTAAAAATAGATATGGCACTTTTTGATTAAATAAGGGGAATTGTGGGGCCAGAAAGGAGGGCTTAGGGTTACCCAAGGCTATTGATTGGTGGGATTGCTTTGATCTCCCAGGGGTCAGGCCAATCAGCTGTGGCTCCCTTTCCTCCCTCTGCACTAAGAGGAAGTTTATTTTTCTCTTTCAGGACGGGCGCCTGGATATGACCTTCTTTGCCCCAGACTGCATCCACCCAAGTCAGAAATCCCACTCCCAGCTCTCCAGAGCCCTTTGGGCCAATATGGTAAAATAACTGGGATGCCCCTGGGCCTCCGAGGTTCTAGTCTACAGCAAAGCCCCAGCCCCTATAGAATGGAGCTTGTTCTTGGCCTCACTTTGCAAGCAAGGTATAGAGGAACAGTGGCTGGCACATCTGTAGAAGTCTATAGAATTGAAACTATGGAGTCCTTAAGATTCCATAATCAACTACACTCTCTCCTATGTGCTCTGAACCCTGATGAGGAGCTCTGCATGAATGCAAGGCAGAACCCTCACATTTACTCAGCGTTTGTATGTGCCAGCATGGAATGTGCTAGGCAGTCTGAGCTTCCCAACATCCCTGCAGGAGAAGCATTATGAGTCCATGAGGAAGCTGAAACCTAGAGAAGCTAAGAGACTTGCCCAATATCCCTCAGCCAGCAACTGGCAGAGCCGGGAGTGGAAGCCAGCCCCCTGAAATCATGCTCGAGCTTCCCCACTGCAGGATGCTGCCTGTGGCTGTTCACTTCAAAGGAAATTCTGACACCTCTGTCTCTCTTTTCTTCCCCAATCAGCTTGAACCACTAGGAAGGAAAACGGATACCCTGAACCTGACGGCAGATATCCCCCTCTCCTGCCCCACTCCGGTAAGAAGGGAGGGCCTGCTTTGTTCCTCCCCAGAAGCCAGAGCTCAGACCTTCCACCCTCATGCTTTGCCACGGACTCCTTGCTGCCCATCCTGCCCCTCGCCCGGGAGTGGAAGGATTTGGGAGGCTGGAAGGATATCAGGGAGAATGGAGAGGGGGATGGAGGGCTCAGCAGCCCTTATCTCTTTGGGAGTAGGAGAAGCAAGGGGAGAGGACCAGGGTGTGAGAGAGGTGGGTTCTTGAAAGGAGGAGTCAAGAAGCCAGAAGGAGGGGGGGAAGGCTTATTTTAACCAGAGCACTAGGAGTGGATGGGAAAATCAGACTGCAGGCTGGAGGCCTAGCGAGAAGCCAGCCAGGCTCAGCAGCTGTGCTAGGTAGTCGTGGGGCCGGGACTGGAATTTCCAGCAGGGATAGGGTCAAAGAGAAGCGCAGTGCTGGAGCAAGCCTGGGAGCTGTGTGGGGGAGGGACCAGTAGGACTGGCCTTGCAGTAACTGGGGCGAGGACTCAGCTTGGGGCTCCTTTTAAGGAGGAAAATGTAAGTGGTTGTTAAACTTGATTTCAGGCCTAGGGTGGGGGCAGGTCCATGCTCCTGTTGCTTTCTGCTCCCTTTTCAAGGTCCCGTCTAATGTTTTTTTGACCTAATAAGGCTGAGGCCAGAGGTCCCTCAGGAGCAGTAAAAGCGAAAGGACCTGACCCAATCTGGGAGGCTGGGTTTCCCCGGTTGGACTCCATCACCCACTCCCAGCCCCCTGGCTGAGCTGGAATAGACCTGCAGCTCCCCCGTGTGTCTGCCAGGGCTCCAGAGGGAGTGGGAGCCCTGCCCAGACCCACGCTCCCTGTCTGCCACCTCCCCCACCTCAGTCTCGGGCACAGGCTCAGCCTTATGTACCCTCAGCCTCACCAGGAGAGCAAGAGTGGTGGAAGGGCTAGGGAAGTGTGGGAGTGACAGCGGAGGGCTCAGTTGCTGGGTCCAGTGCTTGGAGCAAAGGTAATAGTTGAATGACGTAACACCCAGTACAACATGGATGCCTCCAGGCCAAATGGTCAGATGCAGGACAGGGGCGAGGGCTTCTAGGATGCTGACTGTGCCGTGCGTCAACTGTTAAATTGCTAGGTCTTGATCATGTCCAGGGGTTTCTAGGGGAGAGGCCAGGCGATCTGGGTAGTGGGGGCATTTAGGGACTCAGAACAGGGGATGTAAATCATACTGGAGGTAAGAATTTCAATATTTTAAGAGCCCACATGGCCATACTGAACATCAGCAACAGAAAACTTTCCCCAATCTGCCAGTTGCCCTTCCTTCAGGAGTAAAAGTAACAACCCCATTCCAGGACACCACCATTTGCTCTTCCTCCTCCCACTTAAGTACCAGGTTGGAGCCTAGGCACTGGTCAGGGAGAGAACCCTGTCACCATGGGCCTCAAGGCGACATGTGCTGCCCTCTGCTCCAGACCAGACACGGAGCCTGAGAAGAGTGCCACTCCACCCAGCATCCCAGGGCACAGTACGCTCTGCTCCTCCTTCTGGACAGAGCCGGTCTGAGCCATTGGTGAGCAGAGGAGAGCAGATCCTAGAAGCCCAGCCTGGGAGAGCGGTTGCTAGGCAACCCCAGAACCCATTTCAAAGGATCCGTCTGTTGGCCAGCCCAGCCTCACCGCGCCAGGCAATGTAGCATTCTGCATTCCTCAGGTCCTGGGAGCTATAAGCCCACCAGCACCTCAGTGTGAGCTGACAGGGCCCAGGCAGCACATGTTTCCATCCTAGTTATGTTAAACATAGACACAGCGGGCAGGACCCGGTGGGGAGCAGGGGCCTAGATGAATGCGAGCACTGGGGACCTTCTCAGTCTCCTCCCGGCTCTGTCCCCACCCCAGTCAACTGCAAGTGCATTCTGCCCATCCAGAGTGGGCACTTCACAGCACTCCATGGAGTTCTGTTAGGGTTTCAGGAGAGACTTTACAGCCAACTTCTGATTAGCCACTCTCTGGACGTTACTGCTGGCCCGGCTGGCTTCGTGGCCTCTCAGCCCACTCCTTCCCTAACCCAGGGCACCTGACCGTGGCTCCTCCTCAGGCTTTTAAGAAACCAGCTGAAAGCCCAGCACCATCCCTTCCAGCTCTTAGTCTTCTTGCCCTTTCTGGGCATTTGTCAGTTAACTACCGCCTCCATGGAAGGCCTCCCGTCCTGCGCCTCCAGCTGCAAAACCATCTTGCTTGATGTGTTTTCTAGTTGCTGCCCCTTCTTTTCTCTTTTAAGGATGCTCCTTCCTTCTCCCAGCCTTGAAAATGTGGACATTGTCCAACTCTCCTGTCTCAGTCCCAATTTTCTTTCTCCCTCTCTACAGCCCCTTGCTCTGAGATTTGTCCATTTTCAGGGCTTCCTGTTAGATTTCTGTACCAGGGGCTCCCCACTCTGGTGTTCATTTGTTCTTTACAAATGCTGTATTTCTACAAACTCTTTTCCTGCCCTCTATGTCCATCTCCTGAGATGCATCCCCCCTGGGATGCCCTATGTAGTGTAAGGTCACCCACAAGGCTGCTTAAATTGGATAATCAGGATGTCAACAAAGCCGGGGAATGACAGAGAGAGAGAGAGAGAAACTGAAATGATTTCAAGTGATGTGCCATCCAGTAGTTTATTGTGAGAAAAAGCAGCAGTTTGTTCCTCATACTTCACTGTTCAGTGGTTTTCCGTTTTGAATCATATGTAGGGATGCTGTTATCATTTGTATGCTTTGGACTTCCAAATTTCCTAATCCCACCCTGATCTCACATTACCTCGACCTCAACATTCATTCAAAGATAGTTTTTGTGTAAGGAATGTCAAAAAGGGGCTAAATATTTGTCTTCCCAAACTCTCTGAGCCGGAGGATTTCCCTGTGTCAAAGTTACTGTGTCACAGTTCTGCAGGCGTGACACCTGAGGTGCCCCATCTGCTAGGACTCTTCCTGGTGTCCCTCCTGAATGCCTGCCTTTTCTGTTCTGATTGCTCCCCCACCCCAGTTCAGATCCCATCATTTGGTGTGTTAAAGGTTATCTGGTCCTACCTACCCATTATAAAACACTATATAATCTTGGGATCTCAGCAGGGAAGGCCGTGGGGTCTCTCTGCTGTGATCGCTCATGTAACTGAATCACTACCACTACCCCACCGAGGCATCCCCCCAGCCTCCACTTAAACTCCCACGCTCTCAAGGCCATGCTTTTCGCACTGCCAGGTAGCTCCCCATTAACAGGTTGTAAAGTCAGCCTCTTCGCTCATGAACCAGCATGTGTTGCATGGGGCAGGGAATGTCAGTGGACATTCCATGTAGTCCTGGTATGTCCTCCTACCACCACCTCCCTCCCATAAGTCTTCTCAGGTCCCTCAACCATTTACTGCAGGCGAGCCTTCAGAGCCCTGTCTCACGCAATAGGTACACATGTCCCTCTTTAGGTTGATGCCCAGGTCCAACTGTACACTCCAGTTTGTCCACGCAGCAGGAAACCACCACTTCTTCACTATGGAACTTTATGCCTAGTAACACAGCCAAGATTTTCCCGGAGCCACTGACTCATGTTGCTAACACACCGGGTGGCTGTCAGGCTCTGACCCCCAGGCAGGCCACACCGTCTTTGCGCAGCTATAACTGGTAGAACATTTCCTTGTGCTGGCATTCAATTGGCTTCACTTTCTACTTATCAGTGTTACAAACCCAGCCAAGAAAGCCAGTAGACTAAATGGAATCCCTCTTCCAAGTAATCTGCTCAACTCAAGGCCTTTAAAAAGCTCTGACTCATGCATGCTCTGTGCCACTGATGGTCAATAAAACAAGCCCAGGCACCCCAGGCCGCCTGTCTGCCTCTGCCCTAGACCTGTTTTCATTATCCCTGCTCTGGCCTCACTCCCCACCACATTCCAGTGTCTCCCTGACCTCTGACCCTTTTGATTCAGTCTCCCCTCTCTGGTCCCTTCCCAATCCTTGGGTCATATGACTAAACAGACACTCCCAGAAGGGCAGGGGAAGTCTTTGCCCCTTAGTTCTTCCTGTGCTGGACATTCTGGGACTGGCTCCAGGCCCCAGCCCCTGTGCCCAATCAGGGCTCCCTTGAAGTGGGGGAGAACGATATTAGCAGCACCCCCTCCACTGAGTCTAGTCCTTAAGGACCACACCCCCAGATGTTGCACCCATCACTGCTCTTACCAGACACGCCATCCTTGAATGCTCTCTGCCTGACTGGGTTGTAAACCTCTTTGTGTCCTCCCCTCATTCAAGCCCCTAGAACAGTGCTCTGAACACATGGGCGCTCAACAAACATGGGCCAGTTATTTATAGAATGCTCCCAGATTGCCCTTGTCTGAAGCTGAATGCTCTGGGGATGCTAAATAACATTAGCCAGAGAAAAGCCTAGTTAGTCATGGCAACGTGCCATTGCGAGGCCTCTTTGGCCTCATGCTGCTGCAGACCGCCCAGGGCACACTTCCTCCCCTGGGCCTGAGCGCTCCTCTGGCCCATGTTTCAGTTCGAACACCAAGCCTCAGAAGGAAGGAGAGACATGTGTAGTGTCCCAGGAAGCCAGGGTCTGTGCCCAGGCTGGGAGTTTTGCACTTGTAGACTTTGTCCTCCAAGGGGACTGCAGAGAACCTCCCTGCCTCTTCCTCTCCATCTGACCAACAGGTTTTTCGTTGGTCTGGTTCCAGTGTAAGAACTGGAACCAGGAAGGTCAGGTCAGACCAGGTCCCCGTCCTGCACTACTGGTCTTTACCTGGAATGGGTCCTTTCCACACTCTGGGCCTCAGTTGCTCTTTATCTGTAAAATCCGGTTTTCGGGGTTGCAAACCCAGGTGTAATGCCAGGCAGGAACACACTGTGTGAATGGGATCGGGTCTGAGACAAAAGGAAGCACAGGGACAGAACGGGAGAGGGCGCACCCCAGTTGGAAGCATTAAGGCTTCCTCCCTGCACTCCTCCTAATGCCATTCAGGCCAGAATAAACCAGATCAAAACCAAATGTCTCCTGAGTGTGTCCAGCCCACGGACGGTCCCTGTCCAACCCCTGGAATGACCTCCAGTGACCCCCTTCTCCCCATTCTGGGTTTTCCTTCTTATTTCAGGCCATGGCCTGTCTACTCTACTGAGCATTCTGGTGATGGTGTTGACAGCCCTGGGCCATTGGTTATTTCCTGTTCTCTGCCTTGTTAACTTGTTCTCAGTTCACAGTAATTTTTACACTTTCTCATTACCTTGCTTTTCCCATTTCTCCTTTGCCTACTCCCTTCTTCCTTCCTTGGCTGACCATCACCCGTAATGAGAAAACTTGGCTTCTTGGCTGGGCTTTGTGAATACTGATGGGGAAACAGATAGGCAGGTAGGGAATGAAATGCTGTTTCAGAAGAAAAAACATGACTGAAATATATGAAGTTGATATGAAGGGGCTAAGACCTATATTTCAAGAGAGGCAAATAGATGATATAAATAGATGATGATGATAGATAGATAGATAGATAGATAGATAGATAGATAGATAGATAGATAGATGATAGATAGATAGATAGATAGATGAGAGAGAGAGAGAGAGAGAGAGAGAGAGAGAATCATAATACTTTCTGGAAAAGAAAAAAAATGCTGTGATGTGAATCTCCTGTCAGAGAAATTACATAGGGAAGAAAACAGATCATTCTGAGAATTAGGGACATGTTCAACAGCTAGAGTGAAAACAAAAGCGTAGAAACCTGATAGAAGTCTTTTTAGGCTTTTCCATTGTGCTTAACAAAAGCTTGTAGGGAATTAATTAAATTATGCTTATACAGTTCTTTCTATTTAAATCTGGAAAAATCATGTTAATAAATCTAGAGGGTAGGATCATTTTGATCTTTCCTAGGCAGTCTTCCATGCCATCAGTTAACCTCTCCCTGTGGCTTCTTTTCTCTTAGAATGAGCCCTTCCTGAGAACACCCCGGAACAGTAACTACACTTACTCCACCAAACCAGCCATTGAGGTAATCCCTTACGCACGTCTGCCTCCCTCAGGGACAAGCCATTTCCAACCACCAATGACTCGGGGTGTGGTGTAGGATTCAGAGTGTTGGCTTAAGCAAAGATGTACCTTTCTGACATACTGGAAATTGCAAAGGTAAAAAAAGGCTCCTGAACCACAAAGTCCCAGGATGGCCCTAACATGTTCACAAGTGCTTACCTGACGTCAGCAACCAACTAGAGGAAGTGCTTGTGGATCAGTTTTCTTTGACCTTTGCACAGACATCATTTCTGATTAAGCAGCTCAGCCTTTTAAGACAGAATGAGGAGGAGGCAGTGGGTATGATGCACCATCACTTCCTGGAAGGTGGAAGCTGAGTGAAAAGAATCTCGATTCCAAGGGCCTGGCCCAACAGGAAGCTGACGCACATCCAAGTGGGTTCCCCAGGGCTTATTTGGTTCAAGACCATTATTCTAGCTCTGAGGAACCCAAAGGATTCTGTCTGTGGCTTTAGGGACTGCTACTCCAAACATGGCCTGGAGAATAGTGGGTATGATGCACCATCACTTCCTGGAAGGTGGAAGCTGAGTGAAAAGAATCTCGATTCCAAGGGCCTGGCCCAACAGGAAGCTGACGCACATCCAAGTGGGTTCCCCAGGGCTTATTTGGTTCAAGACCATTATTCTAGCTCTGAGGAACCCAAAGGATTCTGTCTGTGGCTTTAGGGACTGCTACTCCAAACATGGCCTGGAGAATCCTAGACAACACCAGGCCTTGCAGGACAGGCCTGATCCAGATCTGGTCTGTTGCCAAGAGGATGGGGGCTCCACTGCCAATTTCAGTTGAGCACCTATAGTACATCTGTTCTCATATCACGGATGGCATGGTAGGGACCAGAGGGAATTCTGAGAAGTGTCAAACATGGTCCTGCCCTTAGGGAATTAGGGGTCGTTTCACACTGAGTATCTACTAAGTGCTGGGCACTGTTCCAGGGAGATAGAGCAGTAGGCCAGACAGGTGGGTCCCACCCTTTATGAAATTTACAGTCTACTAGAGCAGCTAATACAGTCATTTCAAATAGTGATGACAGCTCTGGGGAAGGTGAGGCAAGGCTGCATGATGGGGCAGGGGAGGGGAGCAAGTTCTGACGAGTGTGCAGGCCAGGCCTGCACTCGAGGGGAGTTTCGAGCTGGGACACACATGATGGAAAGATGCCAGTTATCTGGAGAACCACAGCCAAGTCCCCAGCAGGACCAGGGAGCACAAAGTCTCAGGAGTGGGGCTGAGGTGGGTGTATTTGAGGAAGAGAAAGGAGGTCAGAGTGGCTATGGGCATGTGGATGAGGTGGAGAGTAGGGTGATGAGATCAGGAGGGTGGTCAGGAGCCAGATCATGTAGAATCTGAATCCCTGAGTAAGAAGGTTGGACTTCAGGTGGAGATATGTAGACGCCATCTGGATGTTCCAGTTGAGGGTGACATAACCTGGTTTACTTTTTTAAAAGATCTCCCTGATTAGTGTGAAAAGGGGAGCAACAGAGCTGATTGAGGGAAGACCTTTTATAAGCCAATTAAAGCACTGAGATTAACCTATGTGAAATTATTGAAGAACTGTCAGATGCTAAGCTCTGGGGTGCAAGCCATGACAGGGGCGTGGCTGGGATAATGCCACCGTCCAGCCTCTCTGGGTTCTCTCAGGCCCACATTAGCCCAACAGAGGCTTGTTCCAGGCAAACCATGGACCAAACCCACTGTAATTGAAATGTCAGCTGTGTTTTGCTAATTGGGCATTCATTCATTCAGTCGTTTATCATTTGCTTAGTGGATGCCTAAATGGGGCAGGCACTGCAGAAAGTGCTGGGTATAAAATAGTGAGCAAAGTCTGGACCTGCCCTCTTGGATCTTAGAGTCTCATGTTTCTTTGCATCTGCTGCTGGAAGAGTTAAAAACCCAGGCCTAGAAGGTGGTGGTGTTTTCTTTTTAACTCCTTGTTGTTGAAAGTAGCCCCAGCCAGGCAACATCAACCTGGGCACTTGCTAGAATTGCACCACCCATCCTGCTGCATCAGAATCTGATTTGACAAGTCTCCCTTGGGCTTAGGTGCTCTGCTGTAGCATGCAGTACATGTTCTTCCCCTGTGGCAGAGGAACACGCTCAGATGCTACTGGTGTCTCTTAATCTACATGGAAGGTGCTTGTCTCTGGCTCATCAGCTATCTGTGATATTTTTTAAAGGGCGCACAGCTACAGATCTTTTTTCTAAATTGCATTTTCCCCAGATATTTGTCATCTGCACATAAGCATGTTCTTGATTTCAGTAGAACTTCCACACAGAAGAATGAATCCATCAGTGTGATAAAATAAGCAATCCCTTGGGATAAACTAAAGTACAACAGATTAAGCAAACAATATTTAAAAGAAGTTTCATTTTTGCTCCCTCCTGAGAAGAATGGTTTAACAAAGCTTGTCTTCATCATTATCTAACCAAATAGAAGAAATGAGCTTCCAAAGCTTCTGGCAATTACATTCCCCATGAACCAGTCAACTAGTCAATGCTTATTTGTGGATCTCTACTATACGCTCAGCCTTAGTCTTGTCCCTTAGGCCCTCCTGGGGACATGCAAGTATTTGGGACTCTGGGGAAGAGACTCTGTTTCTCCCCCAGCTTGCTGATACTTGTCATTTCTGTGGCCTCTGCTTCTCACCCCATCCCTTCCTCCAGCACCTGAAAATGCATCTGTATTCCAGAGACAAGAGAATTTAACTAAAGATATCCAGGCTATAGGCATTAATTTGTACACATACAAGGAGTTGGTTGGCTATTAAGTTAAATATGCAAAAAGTTATATACATGTATATAAAAGATATGCAGAAACCAGGAACTTTGCAACTGTAAAAACCTCATGTTATTTTCTAAAAATATTCCAACAAACTATTGTTTCAATCCTATCCTTGTAATAGCGTCCATTAGCTTAATGTTAACAACACCAATGTGTTATCTCCTATTAGGCATCCAAATGTCTGTTCCTTTGGGAGACCACCTGTAGCATGATTTCCGTTTTTTCCCTGCTTTGATATGACTGCTGGCTCCATTTACGAATGTAGATAAGTTGAGATGGAAAAGACTGTGTGTGTAGGTGTGTGCCCACGCATTCTGTGTTCTTTGCACAGATGTAGACAGACACCCGTTGTCTCCTCTCTAATTTTCCTCTCAGTCCATCTGCAGCTAACAGTTCTTACCCTCACACAATCCCCTACAGTATCATAGTTCCAGCTTCCAGCAAAAATTCCTTGGCTAATTCTTCTGGGCTGAAGCTAACCTGCCTGCACAATGAGTGTTGGACAGTGTGTCTTTTCTCCTGTGGGTTTAGAACTGGGGCAGTGACTTCCTGTGTATGGAGTGGAATCAGTCCAGCAGTGTCCCCACCTCGGGTGAGTGAAAACCTCATTGCGCCCTTCCATTAAGGGCCTTGCTAAGTGCCAGGTTGCTGGGAGACCCTATGAGCAACCCTAGGAGCCTTGAGCAGGCCTTGCTGATTCCCGTATAGTACAGACCTAGATCCTGGGCAGCCCACAAAAAGCTGTCCTGAAACCACAAATTACACTTCTCATCTCCACTTAGTCCCAGGGGCAGCTGCTCAGGCCTCCCTTCCCTGTAAAGGAGGTACAGTCAGGGACTGGGGGCCTATCTGCCCATGACCCCTGCAGCTGGGAAGTTCTCAAACCATTCCAGCATGAATTGGGCTCCTCGCAGACTGGACAATAGGCATCAAGTCCATTACCTTCAGTGCCTCGGTTGCTCTGAACAGTTGGAAGAGGCAAATTTGCTAGAGCCTTAGGCTGGAAATAAGTGTAATGGGGACCTGTGAGTCCAGAGCAGAATCTCAGTCTCCTGGTCAAGTTTATACTTAAAAAGGAAGATCTCCTCCTGACCACCCATCTTTCTCCTGTCTCCCCTAGTCCATAAGCTCCGACCAGCAGACATTAAAGTGGTGGCCGCCCTGGGTGACTCGTTGACTGTGAGTACTGAGCTAAGCCAGGCATGGGTACCTACGAGCCCAGCCAGGCCCTGTGTAGAACCAATGCTTCCTCCACCCTGGCTCTGCCTTCAGCACGTAGCTGACATTGACTGAGAACCGCCCTGTGCCGGGCACTGAAATACAGCCAGGCAGCCAAAAAATGTCACCCAGCAATCTAGAGTGCCCTGCCCTCTGCCCTGCACAGTCCCATTCAACCCCCTCCCCTCCCCCGCCAGGCAGAAGCCATCTGTGCCCCTCACCCACCGTCCCCACGCATTTCATCTGTGTGCTGCAGTACCCGTCCAAGTCTGCCTGCCTTTATCGCGGAACTCCCTTCCATCTACCCAGACTCACAGAGTGCTGGGTCTTCCCACACACAGCCCACAGGCCCACCCCATTTAAAGATGTGGTTTTGGGGGCAGAGGGAGCCCGGTTCCTGCACCAAGCACACTTTCACTGAATGAATTGTATGTGTCTGCTTGTTAGCTATTGCTGTGTACAAGGCACTCTTCTCACAGTTCTGGGAGGCAGTTGTGATCCTCAAGAAACTTGTCCAGCTGGGAAAACAAGAAACTTACACAGAAGGAGATACATAATCATATAGGTGACATGTAGGACTTTTAAAGTAGAGATTTCATTTCTGTAGAAACAAATTCTCCACGTGTGTGAATGTGTTTTAATTTTGGTAAGAACACAGAAAGCAGTGGAAGGATATACACCTGCTCTTAGTCAGTAATTACCCTGGTGGTGTGTAAATGTGGGCAAGGGGCAAGGAGAGGATGTACAACCTATGGCAGGGGGCAAGATGATCAAAGCATGAGTAGATTACTAAGTTTTTCCAAATCTTTGCATCATTTTACTAGTTATGGTGAACATAGATTACTTTTTTAAGTTCTGAAGAATTTCTCTTTTTTTGTAAGAAAGGCATTTAGAGAAAGCTTCCTAGAAGAGGTAGAAACTGACAAAAGTCTTATCGAAGGAACTGGAGATTAGGGGAAGATAGCATTCCCAAGGGGATTGGCTGAGTGGGTGGCAATGGAGCAGGCTGGTCCCAGGCCTTCATGGTTCGGGTCCATTTGCTTAGACCTGCATGGACAGGAAAGGGAGTGACCAAGGAAGGGAAGGAGAAACCCGACTACGTGCACTCAGAACGCTGGTGAAGGAATTTGGGTTTGACCCTGTGTGTAAGGGAGACCCACTAAAAGGTCAGAGATCGGGGGAGGCATGGAAAGAGGTGTGCCAGAAGAGCACATGGGCAGCCTGGTGAGAAGGGAAGGAACACCAGAGACTGTGGGTCAGGTAGGAGGCCAGAGTGTGGTCCATACTGAGGAGATGAGAATCCCAGCTAGGAATGTGGCCGAGGGGCAGGAGCTAGCCAGGTGGGGAAGGAAGGATCTTGGTGCTTCCAGGACATGGTTATCGGTTGTGTGTAGAGGATTTCAGAGTCAGGACGACTTGAGAGATTAAGTGGCCTAGAGAAAAGCTGGTACTACTTGTGCTCAGAAAAGGTCAGTCCAGGCCCCACGGCTACACCAGCGAGGGGGGCCTTTTCCCACACCCCCAGCCCACACGGGCCCTGCACAGGTCTGGAGCCTTCTCTCTGCCTTTCATAGACGGCGTTGGGAGCCCATCCAGGCAAGTTCGGTGACCTACCCACATCCTGGAGGGGACTCTCCTGGAGGTGAGGATATTCTCCACTCCAAAGAGCCATGAGTGGTGTGTTTCCTGTTATCCTCCAGAGATAAGACCAGGTCCCCATGGCCCAGAGCATGGAAACAAGGAGACCCCCTGGTGCTCACACTAGTCCTGAGGGCGACAGGACTCATACTTGGCGGTTCTGACTTAGAGACAGGACAGCGTGTGGAGCAGCAGGCGGGGTGGGCTTTAACAAATGTGCTTTCCTTCCCCAGCATTGGAGGGGACGGCACCTTGGAGACTCATACCACACTGCCCAGTAAGTGGCAACATGGAGGAGCACCGTCACTATGGCCAGGACAGCATCTCCCTGAGGCCAGGGCCTTGCCCCCGAGTGCGGGACGAGAGGGTTACCTGCAAGGAGGGAAGTCAGCGAGCCCCGAGAGGCCCAGAACCGTCCTGCCTCTCTCTGTGCCCTGACACTGCACGGCCCTCCCCTCTCACCTGTGCTGTCTGCTTCCTCCCTCTTAAAAGATATCCTGAGGAAGTTCAACCCTTCCATCCTTGGGTTCTCTACCGGCACACAGGAGGACACAGCAGGCCTGAATGCAGCAGTGAAAGGTGCCAGGGCCCGGTGAGTAGATGGGGGCCTGGACAGGGAATAGAGGACAAGGCTGAGCCGTCAAGAGGAAAACGGGAGGAGGAGGGAATGGTGCTATGGGTGCCTGGCCCCTGATGGGCAACAACAGCACTACTGCAAGTCTGAGCTGGCCCTGGCGAGGACTGCCCCATGAGCCTCATGCCCTTAGAGCTGGGTCATAGTGGGAGGACACGGAGGCTTAGGATGTTTCCTGAATGGCCCCAAGTTATCAGAGCAAGTTAGAGAAGCCAGCCCAGACCAGGCTTCACCGCCCCCTGGGGCCCTGGCCGAAGCACTGAGGGCAGCGGGACAGGGAGCTGAGTCGGGCGCTGTCCTGCTACCTTGGTTGGCCTCCCTGCCCCACAGAGACTCAGTTCAAATGTGTGGGGCACCTGCACGCGACCCTGTAGACAGCCGCCCTTTGCTCCCCCCTGTGCTCCTGGGAACCTGGAGTCCCGACTCTGTAAGAGCTGTATCTTGACGCTAGGGAGTTAGACGTTAGGGCCCCCCCAAAACAGCATAGCAGTTGTTTGTTTTCACTTGGATTTCTGTTGTTGACAACTGAGATAATTAAAGCTGAAATGCCTGACAGGGTTCATTGATTTTCAGCAGGGTGGGCTGGGTATTTGCTTTGTAGAAGGGACTGCTGTGCACATCACCGGGGAAACCACACGGGCGTGACTCACTCTGCTCACAGAGCACTCCTTCCGGGCGGGGTAAGGGGGCCCCACTCAGGCTGAGCCTCCAGAGCCACAGGAAGCCATGTCAGCTCCTCAACGTCATGAGCAGGAAGAACTTATTTTTCTGCAAAAAGCTGAGCATCACAGGGCCTTAAAACCAACATCTAACTGCTGTTTATTACCATTATAATTATTCTACAGCACGGGCTCCAATAACCAGGAGGCGATTTCTCAGTCTGTTGCCATCCAAGCCCTCCTCGCTTCAGTACTCTTACTGCTTTTCTGCTTCACTGCTGCTTGGCCCTCCCCCAGGACAAGTCAAGTCTGTGGCAGGGAGGGGACCAAGCCATGCAGCTTCCTGTGAGCCTCTCTGCTGTCCCTGTGATAGGGGAAAGAGAGTAAGCCTTGACCTAGGTAAGCAAGGTTGGAAAATTGTTCTGTGACTCTCCTTTATCGGCACTCTGCCATTTAATATGGTGTGGATAAGGATGAGTCCACTTAGAAGGACAGATACCACAGCAGAGTGAATAGGATAATGAGACCTGGGGTCAGACCCTCGGTGTCCAGATCCCAGCTCCCAGACTTGCTAGCTGTGTGACCTTGGGTGAGTCACTTATCATCTCTGAGTCTTAGTTTCCTCATCTGTAAATGGAGATAATAACAGTACTACTTCTCAGGGTTGTCACAAGGATTAAGTGAGATCAATAGCCCATGGAAAATCTTTAGTACAATAGATAATATGTATGCCCCAAAAGAGATTTTCCATTGTTATGATATTTAGTAAAGTTTTATTCAATGTCTAACTTCCCTTCTATCAATCAATAAGCAAGAATTCATTGAACACCTCTGAAGGCCAGAACCCCAAGATTATTACTAACAGTTACAAAAGAATCAAAGTATAAAGATGTATAAAGGAGAAATGTGGGCAGGGATGGTACCATGTGTGCTCAGCCATGTGCCCAGCTCACACCCCAAAATTCCTGGTGCCCCTTTGTAATCAATCTCTCCTCCTGCCTCTCCCCACTCCCTGGTTCCCAGGTAACCACTGACCTGCTTTCTGTCGCTACAGATGAGTTTTAATTTTCTAGAATTTTATATACATGGAATCATACACTATGTACTATTTTCTTATCTTTTTCCCAGAAAAACTAAGAGGCATTCATGTCGTTGCTTGGCGATAGTTTCATTCCACTTTATTGCCGAGTAGTGTTCCATTGACATACATATCTCTCATCCAGAAACATTCGTCACCTTATTCATGGCAGACAACAGGGAGCTGGAGGAAGAACTAATCCTATTTGTCTCCCCCATCCTGTCTCGTTGGGAGGAAAAAAAGTGAGGAGATGGGGAATGGTGTAGAAATCCAAAGTAACCACACAGAAGAAAAACAGAAGGATTAAAGGACCAGAGAGTGGGCCTTAGAAGCAAAGGTTAAGGAGCCAGGAAGCCAGGAAAGGAGAAAGCTGAGGGATAATTTAGGGCCATGACTTTTTCAAACATACAAAAGGTTATTTTTAAAACAGGCAGCTGGATAAGAACTGAACAGGGTCAGCCTGCAGTGAAAGAGCTGGGTGAAATACAAGGGAACATCCCTGATGGGAAATCTGAGCGGATCCCACCTGCCGTGGCTGGAGGCCTGGCCTGTGGGAGGAGGTGGCTGGATGCAGATTAGCCCCTGGCAGGGTCCTGATCCATGTGGATCTGAGGTCTGTGGCAGATCTTTGATTTTTACTAGGTTGCGATTTCTTGAGAATCGAAAGCCCTTCGACACATCCTGAAGGAATATAATTTATATAATATTAATGTTTTTCTTCCTGAGGTACCACTCCTGCCAAGCCCAATCCTACAGCCTGAGTTCTGGCTCCTCAGCCAGCGCTAACACCCCTTCTCTCCCCGCTGCCTAGGGACATGCCAGCCCAGGCCCGGGACCTGGTGGAGCGAATGAAAAAGAGCCCGGTGAGTACAGGGCCCCAGGCCACCCTGAAAGGCGCTCAGTATTCGGCTGTCTGGGGCAGGTACAGTGGCCCTCAGAGAGCTCCTCCTCACCACTGGCCCTCCTGCCCTTGGCTTGTCTGTAAGACAGGCCAGAAGAGCCCCAAGAAGCAGGGCTTACCACCAAAGCACCCTCTTTGCTACTCTCTCCCAACCCCAACTCAGGCACCCTGGCCCTAAGTTGAGCGCAGGAGCAGGAGACGGAGCAGAGAGCTGGCCAAGATGGCATCCCTGGCCTCTGGCAGTTTTCCACTTTGCCCAAGAGTTGGCATCACAGAGCCCTATTACACAAACACTGTTCTAAAAATAGGCTCCTCATTCCAATTTTTCCTCCTTCCTGTTCACCTGGACCCTCTAAAACTTCTCACTGGCACTTTTTTAAGTGCTCTGTGCTTCCACGTTGGAATTCAGCCCCTGGCAGTGCCCCTGCTGTGATGGCTGAGCAGAGAGCTGGTTCCTCCAGGGGCCTCCCTGGACCCCACCTCCCATCCAGGCCAGGCTCCTCCTCCTCCACTTCCCTCCAGGCCCTCTCCCTGCACCGAAGCCTCCCGAGAGGCAGGTCTGGGCTTTTGCTTCTGGTGGCATCTTTTGCCCTTGGCTCCTTTGAAGGGCATTAGATGGAGTATTTAGGGATTTGTTAATACTCCACTCCACCAGGAATTGCAGCTTTCTAAAGAGGACTTCAAAGGGAAAGCAGTGTCCTCCACTATGTGAGCGGACACACACGCAGACACGTGCACGAGCACACACACACACACACACACACACACACACACAGCTGCCTTCCTCCCTCCCTGGAGCTCATCCCCTGGCACCAAGGGGAGGGAGGCTCCGCTGGCATCTCCTCCCCATTGTGATACAAAGCAGGGACAGGCACTCAGGGCAGGGGGGTGGGGGGCTGTCTGGCCCGGTCATCACCACCTGCATGTGACTGCCTCCCACTCCACTGTCAAAGTCTAAACCCAGGGTCTTCTGAATCCTCAGGAAATCAACCTAGAGAAAGACTGGAAGCTGATCACACTCTTCATTGGGAGCAATGACTTGTGTCATTACTGCGAGAATCAGGTAGGCCCCAGACCAGCCCCGTCAGACACCTGAGACAGGAGCTGTGGCCTGTCATTGCCCACGCCTAGGGCCCCGGCTTGCCTTGTGGGAGTCCCACTGGCCTGCTCTCCCAGGTGCCTCAGGCGGGCCCCTGGCCCACACACGCCAGGTGAGGCTGGCCTTTCCCACGGCTGAGGAGCCCGCAAGTGTCTGGAAGCACCCAGTCTTCAGGCACTGCCGAGGAGGTGGGCTCCCGTGTGCACGAATACTGCACTCTGCTTCCAGTGGGTAACTTGCAAGCCCCACCCAACACCTGCTTGGAGTCCCTGCACCTGTTTGCTTTGGCCATCCTCCTTGAGAAAAAAACAACATCATAATGGGGGTTGGATAAAAATGAACCAATCCTGATAGGATGGCTTGCTGCCCTTGAGGGACATCACAGGTTGACCACCCTCTAGCAGCCGGCCTGGGCACCTAGCTCATTCCTCCTGTTGTTTCCAGACTTAAAATTGGAAATTGTAACTTTTAGAATATGTCTTGTTCTAAGTTGGGGAACATCCTGTATTTTATTTGGCCAGAAAAAAAGCAGCTGCTAGAACTCAGAGCTGGTGACAGAATGTCTGACAGCCACAGGCATGGGGAGAAAGCATTTATCATTCCTCTGGCTCAGAAAGACCAGCCACCAAAGGCTGATGAGAATTACACTCCCCCCACATGGGGGTTCACTTTCGCTGCCTCTGTCCTCTCCCTTACTACCCAGACTCAGACCTACCTATGGACACTCAGTACAGGAAAATACCTCTACTGGACATGAATACCTGTCCTTCCTGCAACAGTCAGGTGTATACTACTGAGAGCATCTTTTTGTGAAAGACACCTGAAGGCCACCACCAGGGTTAACTCAGGCACATTTTAGGAAGGAGCTAAGTTAGCCTCCAGTCGGGAGATGCGTCAGAGGAGGAGACCCTTAAGCTGAGTCACAAGGGATAAAAATTAGGGGGTGGCAGTGGAGCCAGCCATGGGCCAAAGCCCAGAGGACAGAGAGTGTGATCACCAGGGGCACCATCATGGTCAGAGAAGGCCAAGGCTGGTGGCAGATGGACTGGAGAAGTGGTAGGGCCTAGCACTGTCAGGGTCTGCCTTTGGGTCTGAGATACCATGGGGTACAGATTGTTCATGGTGTCCAGTGGGGGCCAAGGGGTGACTTTTTACAATAGCCTTTGTGTCCACCAAGAACAAGGGCTGAGCTTCCCAGCCCATCCAATGCCACCGAAGCCCGTCAGTACCCATTCTGCCACCATCCCACAGCCCTAGGGCCCTCTTGTACTGGGCATCAGACCCCCTCCTCCTCACAGAGTGGAGCCCAGGGGCTAAGGAGAACCTCCTTCGTTCTTCACAGGAGGCCCTACCAGCTGAGGAGTATGTTCAGCACATCCAGCAGGCCCTGGACATCCTCTATGAGGAGGTAGGGAAGAGCCGCTGCATGCTCCTGGGTCCTCTTTCCTCCCAGCAACCTGTCTGTCTGCTCCCTTATGGGGGAGTTGCTGCCTGGGTGCAGCTAGGCAAGTTGTGTTCAGTGAGGTGCACGCTGGTGGAGCCCCCACCTGTGAGTGAGCACCTGGATGGGATGGGCGGGAGGGAGCGGCCAAGCTCCTCTGCAGGGAAACTCCAAGTGGATCAGATCGCATTGTTGGGTGGCAAAGAGCTTGCCTCTGCAGCCAGTTGACCTTGTTTACAGCTCAGCACTGTGGCTTACTAGCAATGTGACATTGGGCAAGTGACTTCTGTGTCTCAGCTTCCCAAGCTATTGAGTGGGGCCAATAAAGAAGACTCAGTGAGATAATGCAAGTCACATTCCCTCTTTGGGCCTCAGTTTCTGTGTTGGTAAAGTTGGGGAGGGGGATGTTCAATTGCAAATGATCCCCTGGGCTCCTTCCAACAGTAACCAGTGTCCCTCACAATTGCCTGGGGGCCAATGAAACCCATCCCTCTGCTCCTCACAGCTTCCGAGGGCTTTCATCAACGTGGTGGAGATCATGGAGCTGGCTGGCCTCCACCAGGGCCAAGGCGGGAAATGTGACATGCAAGTGGTGGCTCAGTAAGTACAGTCTCAGGGAGAGGGCACCTGTGGAGAGCAAGGCTCCAAGGGTAAGATCACTACAGGCGGAGCCAGACAGTCCTGCCCAGAGGGCAGACATCAGCAATGAGCCCGGGACTTGGAAAACCATCTGGAAATGCCTCTACCTTATTGAATGCCTGAAGTATGCAAGTCACTTCATTGCTTTGGACCCCCACTGCTTTTCTGTAAAGGAAGAGACACAATGATGCCAATCAGCCAATGATCCTTAAGGCCCCCAACATCATGTATGATTCCAAATTCCAAGTTGAGCAAGTCGCTCTGTGTTTGAGAGGCAGTGCAAGGAATGAGCTTTCAAGGTAGCTAGATCTGGCCTTGAATCTGGCTCTGCCTGTGTAGGAGCTGTGGAACCTCACACAAACCACATTGCTCTGGGCTACTTTCTCCTCGCCTGTAAAAATCTCCTTGCAAAGACCTAGATGAAATGCAAGTAATGTGCCTGGTCCCTGTGGGGCAGGCTCTTGGGAAACAGTAGCTTTTAAAATGTCCTTGAAATCCAGCCTTTGAGCTAAGGAGTCCTGTCTAGGGTCAAGTGAATTTGCTGGGAAGGTGACCAGCTGGTTCCTGTGTTTGCTAGGAACCTGGCCCCTAGGGTGCCTGGCCAATAGCTGGAGGGTCTTGCACCTTCTGGAGTCTGCAGGTCTTGCACCCCATCTAGTCAGTGTGCCTCAAGCTGGTTGACCCTCCCTAGCTTGTCAAAAGACTCCCCAGCCTAGAGCCCTGAGGGTAAGTCCTAAGCAGCCAGAGGTAGAGCTGGAAAACTTCAGGAACATGAATAAGAAAGAAGGGCTATCATGGTTGTCTTCCCACAATTCCAGTCCCTTCTCACCCCCTCCCTCCCCTCATGGGGCCCCAGGAGCCACAGGGAATGGGTAGCCTGTTCACGAGGAGGCCTGGCCATCAGGAGCCAACTTTCCTGCCTTCTCTATACAAGCACCTGCTAGACCTCCGGCTCCTGAGTTACATCATGTTCTGGGACCTGCATCCCAGAGTCAGTCAAGGCTGAGTGTGGGGACACCTGTGTTTTGCCACCCTCCTGTTCAAGGCAGAACAGGAGACAGGCCCCCAAGGGCAGCAGCTGCCTCCGTGGGGGTCAGCTTCCCGGGGCACAGGGTCAGGCCACCCCTGGAGCCTCCCCACAGGACTCCTTATCTCGCAGGAGCAGCTGCGCTTGCCTCGGACGCACCCAGAGCTCCCGGGAGATGCAGGAACTGAAGAAAGTGAACTGGAACTTCCAGGTGAGCCTGTGCCCTGAAGGCCAATCACAGCCCCTGAGCTTTTTCTTATTTTATAATTGGAAGTTTATACCTTTTTATCCTCTTCACCTATTTCACCCGTCCCTCCATGCTTCCAGTCCCTGAAATATTTATCCAGGCAAATTGGACACCAAGGCCTGGGTGGGAAGCAGGGAGAGTGAGAAATCTCAGAGGGAGGGTGGGAGAATCCCAGCCCGCGGCCAGCCCTGAGCCGGTGAAAGCGCTCAGGTACCATGTGATGGGCCCACCTCCCCCTCGGAGGAGAGGGGCCTGTGGTCATGGCCCTGCTGTCTCCCACCCTCCACCGTTCTCACCCTCTGGTGTCTGCTTCCCCAACACATTCCTCCTCCTGTCCACCTCTGCTCATGCTGTCCCCTCTCTTGAGCATCTGTGCATGTATCCATCTCACGCACAGGGTGTGTCCTCTGACCGCCTTGAAGAAGCTCCTTTGCCTCTGCTTCACCCTCAACTCTTTCTCTATGGCAACTTCAGCCTGCATGTCACTGATCCTGAAGCCTTATATGCTTCTCATGTTTTCTACATCTGGCCTCATTTTTCCAGATGATTATAAGTTTCTTGAAGAGAAGCACATCTAATCTACCCCTTTTACAGTCCACATTCTGGCACTTAATAAAGCCAATGACCATGGACACTCATCCCCCAAGATTACAGGTGTTGAGACGCTTACCATCTGAGCAGGAGGCCTTTGGCCTAAGCAGTCAGGTCAGCAGCTCAGAGCCAGCCTTACAGAGACTCAGCATGGATGGGGGTGGCGCTCAGGCAGCGGTACAGACTAAATGCACACAGCTCAAAGTAGCCCCTTTGAGGCTGGTCCCCATCACAACCAGCCCAGGGCAGCAGGCCCGGGACCTGTCCAGCCGGCCTCGCCAGAGGGTTGAGCAGTCTCTGTCCCCATCCACAGAGTGGCATCTCCCGGCTGACCTACCAGCAACAGTACCTTCAGCGCGAGGACTTCGCCGTGGTGCTGCAGCCATTCTTCCAAAACACTCTCATCCCCCTGAATAGCGTAAGCCAGGGGTGCTTCTGGGCGGTGCATGGGGAGAGGCTGCTCTTAGGTGATGCACTTCCTTCCCTATGTAGGTTTTTCTTTTAAGCATCTCTCTCCAAGCAGGCTTCCAAGGCCTCTTTTCCTTTTTGGGGTCGGGGGGTATAATTGGAACATAGTATAGTGACTAAGCTCCCTGGGCATAGCCCCCCTGCTACTTGCTGGATTGGGATAGAATGAAAGCTTCTTAAAATTATTATTTTTGAGTATTAGTATAGGGGTGTTGAAGGAAAAGGAATGGAGTATGGGTAACTACAATCCATGTTTGTTTGGTTTTTTTTTTTTTAATTCCGAAATTGAGGAGTTCCTCCATCAATATCTAGCCTGGCAGCAACAGCCTTGAAAGGAGAAGTGCACAGGGCCCCTGCGGGGATGGTAGGGGGCAGGTAAAGGTGTCCTTTCCCCAGGAAGGTAACTCCCTTGCCTTGGTCACAGAGAGGGGGCGCTGACCTCACCTTCTTCTCCGATGACTGCTTCCACTTCTCAGAGCGCGGTCACGCCGAGATGGCCATCGCCCTCTGGAACAACATGGTGAGTGCCCCAGAGCCTAGGGGGCAGCCCAAGGATGTTGGCTAACTCTCACAGTGAATAGCCTATTGGCTGACATAGCCCCTTTCTCCCCAAAGCTCAGAGTGTTGGCACACCCATTTGTCCAGACAGATTTGATTCTTTTGGTAGTGCCCTAGAGAGGTAGGGGGAATAACATTGTGAACAGTTCAACAGGTTGAACACATATCAGCTTCAACCCCTTACTGTGTGACCTTGGGCAAATGATCTCTCTCTGGCCCTCTCTATCAATATCTGTAAAAGTAATACAAAGATTCAGAGCTCAGAAAACTGACATAATATGTGCACAGTACAATAATTAGCATTTAATAAATGCCGACCCCCATTCCTCCTGTCTCCACACATTCCCAACTATTATTTCTTTAAACCTCACAGAGAAAAGAGCCACCCAGCCTGTTTTTGCAGGCTGCCACCTCTTCCTGTCCTTTCTAATGGAGAAAAACGAAACCTTATGCAATGAGCATAGAGCCCGGGGGGCCACAGGGACACCTGGCCTGTGCCCCGCGGCTCTCTAATGGATAGTCAGCTGCATAGGCAGGAGCTTGACCCATAACCCCAGTAGTATCCTGTTGCACAGAGCAGATGAGATGCCTTTCCAATGCAACGGCTCCTTTTGCTCTAGGCTCAGCGGGTAGCAGGTAACCCAGTCCCCACCCCCACCTGCATGCTCCCCTGTGGTGACCAACAGTCTACCTCCTGCTCCTCCTGTTGCAGCTTCAGGCCCGCTGTGTCTCTGGCAACCACCACTGTGCAAATATTCCCACACCTGTCACCTCATCCGACATGTTCAGGATCTTACGTGGCTGACTCAGAGTACTGCCTTTCTGCCTAGCCACACCACCTCCTCCTCTCCCCAGAACAGCATGCAATCAGATTTTATCCTTGGCCTAGTTAATTGCAGACCCGGCCTTCCTGTACTTTTGTTTCCCTGATGTTTTCCTCCTGTTGACGCATATCTACCCACTCCTACAACGGCAATTCAGAGTCCTGGGCTGACAGAGCATGACAACAATCAAAATATCTGAGTCCCCTCCCACCCAACCTCCACCCTCATTTTTTAAAGCACAGTTTTACACAATATAATTCCTGGGAGCAGTTGTTTTTTTTTTGTAGATTTTTGCTTTTGAAGTCTAGTTGTCCTTCAGTGGCTGAATCATAGGACTTCATTCCTCTTAAAATCCCCTCCAAGAATGAGTATCTGTGCACAGCCCCATGGAGTCTCCTGAGATCTCAGGGGAACCCACAGATTCCAAGAAGGGCTACATATGCTAAGCCTTAGCTTTTTCTTCCCAGCATTTTCATCAGGGTATGGACCTCCTACCTGGGGGCATTCTGAGCATGCTTAATGCCTGGAGCCTCGCAGGGCTCAATGGCCATACTGACTTCTCAAACATACCAGGGCCCATTGGTCTCTTTTTACATGAATTAACAATGCAGTCCTGGCCTTCTCTTCTAAAGCAGCTCAGGATTCACCCAGGTGAGAGGCTTTAATACATAAGGCAAGTAAGAGAGGTTTCCATATGAAAACAAAAGGTGAACTGCCATGGAACCATGTTAGTCACACTGCAAGACTATCTGTGGCTCCCCAGCCATACCCCAAATTAAAAAGCACCAAAAACAAAACTAAAATCATCTAGGAGTATCTTATCCTGTGCTGTATAATTTGGGGAAATAATTACAGAGTCCAGCGTTTTCATCCATAACCATCTCAGATAAAGCTCTCACATCATGCCAACTTTTAGATCATCTTCTCACTGAACTTTCACCCATAGAGTGACATAAAATGAATAGGCCATTAGAACTAGAAAGGCTCTCAGAGCCAGACTTCTCTGTAACTGAAATACATTTGCCCAGGATCACACAGCCAGCGGCACAGTTAGTGACAGAGCAGGGATGAGAACTGATCCCCCTAGTGTCCTGGCCATGGCACCACTCTGGCCTCTCGCCTCCCAACCTGGTAAGCACCCGTGTAGGTGGTGAATTCACGTCTTATAATTAGTGCTATGACATAGTGTCTGCAGCCTTCGCTGATGCTCAGGACACCTTACTAGGGCAACAGACACCCTAAACACTGCCCCCTCCTGCCCCTCCTCTCAACAGGTTGTGCCTCCTCCTCCAGAGACTTTTGCAAAGCCAGAACCCAGCAGCACTAGGGAAGGGCTTTCAGCTTTTCCTCCTTTTTTCTGACACCTATTCCTCTTCTGTGGAAATCTCTCAGCTCACGTTTGCTTCTCCCCAGGCCCCGGGGGACAGTGCCAGCCTCCTAAGTTGCATGCCTGTCTCCAGACTTACAGCCACTACACCAGCAATTCTCAGCTCTGGCTGCATATTAGAATCATCTGGGGACTTTTAAAAATAATTAATACATCCAACCACTTTGGAAAACTGTTATATCTATTAAAGCTTGACTATACATATTTCCTGTGACCCAACAACCACTCGTACATGTATCCCCAACAGAAAGGTGCACACAAGTTCACCACAAGATGCATACGAAAAATTTCCTAGGAGCACTCTTCATAAGCCCCAAACAGGAAACTCCCCAAGTTCTACTGTCCACTGACAGTAGAGTGGGGCCACAGACTGTGGCACATTCATACAGTGGAAGATCTTACAGCAAACTTCAACCACTATATATGCAACTTTATAAAGTTCAATAAGCAATTAATAAATGATCTTACTGGGGGGTCGGTAGCACTGGAGGAAGGTGCTGGGGAGGCTTCTGAGAGCTGGTAATACCTGTTCCTTCATCTGAATGATCAGTTACATGGTATGTTCATTTATTACAATTTGTCAGCTGCTCACTTAGGATTTGTCCTTGATTCTACATGTATGTTACTTTAAAAAAAAAGAAACGAAAAAACAGGACCAAGGCCTCATACCTAGAAATTCTGACTTAGCGGGGTTGGAACTTGGGTTAATATGTTTGAAAAGCTCCCTAGGTGATAATATTACCCAGGGTTTACAAACCACTACCTTAGATCTATTTGCCACAGGCCAACTTCAGTAATCTGCATAAATGAAAATCTGACCAAGTCAGGCTTCTGCTTTCCAACTTCCAGAGCCCACCCTTCCCCACAGGAAAAAGACCATGTCCCCTAGCCATACACCAGGCCTTGTGGGACTGGCCCAAATTAACCTCTCCAGCAGCCACCTCCCCCACCCTTGGATTCGCACCTGGAAGCCTAGGAAGGAGTGAAGCTTCCTGCCCCACCCCTGCCATCTCATGCCTTGCTCATCCCCTTGTCTTGGACTACCTTCTACCCTTCTTCTTCTGGCGAACTCTTACCTACCTTTACACTTGACTCAGGTGCCAGCTCCAACAGGAAGCCTTCCCTAATCCCCAGAGCAGGCTAGAGGCCCCAGCCCCATTGCACCCTGCCCTGTCCCAGTCCTACCATTTGCCACATCATTGGTATCCATGGTGTCTGGCTTTGGAAAGGTGGGTTCTGGGAACAGCAGCCCCAGTTCCCATGGCCAGCACCTGAGCTTCTCCACTCAGGTCTCTGCGCCTCTCTTCACCAGTCTCTTCACTCAACAACTATCTCTATGCGGTGGCACTATGCGGTGGGTACTATTACGGGTTCTGGGGAAAGCAAGCGCTCATGGAGCTTATATGGTCTAGTGGAGAAAAGACAGATAAGGTGACTACTGACTATATTTTTTAAGCTTAAAAAATAAAGCAGGGCACCATGACAGAGTAATGGAGAAGAAAGAGGCCTCACCCAAGAGTGGCATGTGACCTGAGGACTGCCAGGCTTGCAGAAGACTAGGACCAGAATGTTCCACACAGAGGAAATAGGACCTGTGTGGGCCTGGAGTCAGGAATGAACTTGAAGTGTCTGAGCAGCAGGAAGGCGGCAGGACCAGGGTGGCAGTGGAGAAGGAGAGAAGCAGTTGGGTTTGGGCCATGTCTTGGGGTGGCTAGCAGATGGATGAGGTAGAAGAGGAACACAGGATCACTCCGCAGCTTGGAGCCCAGGAAACCGGGTGGAGGGTTGAGGCAAAAGATAAAAAAGGGCTTGGGAGGGAAAAAAATCAAAAGTTCTGTTTTGGACATGGTAGAAGTGTGATCTGCCTTCCAGAAATCTACCTGGAGGTATCAGGTAAGCTGTTAAATATATGAGCCTAGACCTAAATCTAGTGAGATGATAGGGGATGGAAATTAGGAAAAAATGTGCCAGTCATTGGCCATGGGGATGGCATTAAAGATCATGGGACTGATGAGAGCTCCTGGAGAAAGAACAGTAGAAAAGGGTGTCGGGCCAACTACCAGGCCTGCGGGGATTCATCCAACGTCCAACACCAGCAACAGATGAGGAGCGAATCAGGAGTAAAGAGTACCACATCCCAGGAGCCAAGAGAAGCGTTCTGAGAGGAAGGCATCAGCTCTGACAAATGCTGTTGAAAACTCAAGCAAAACGAAGGCAAAAAAATGACAATGGATCTGGCAATATGGAGGTGACTGTGACCTTGACCACAGCTTCTGTCAAGTGATGAAGACTGACTGCAGGGGGCAGTAGAGAGGGTGGGAGGTACGACCAGGGACTGCACACAAGTCTCCCCAGGGTGATGAGGAGTGACGGTGAAGGCAGCTGGGGCAGGGGGATCAGGGGAGGGCGGCTAAAGGCTGGGAGATAGATCGTACACATAAGGCCAGGCAGTTTGTAGGTTCCTGGAATACTACTGGGACCCAGCCGGCCTGACCGTTAGCATCTATCCCATCACTAGGTGCTTCTGTTATAAGAGGCTGGTGCTTTCTCAGCTCTAAAAAAGCATAAATACTGCTGCCTGACATGTGTCTGTCACCTCCGACTCTCAAATGCTTTCACTTCTTACTCTCACTGGATGCTCACAACAACCTAACGGGAATGTCAGGCAGGGATTAATGCCCCCCCTCTAACCCTGGGGCAGGTCCAGAGCCTGCCTGGCATCACATGGCTCAATACCAGCAGAGCCAGGACCCCAGCCGAGGTGCTCACTGTGCTTGGTGCTCACTGTGCTTTGTCCAGTCACTGTGGTCTCTCCCAGGATCAGAGCCACCCTCACTCCTCTGTGTTATTAAGGAACAGGTGCAAAACACTTCAGGACAAGGAAAAGCATGGCCACGGGCCTGGCATGGTCACTGGCTGGCACAGCGTCCTTTCCCTCCCCTCAGAGGCAGTTTCTGGGGGTCAGGACCAGACAGACAAGCAGAAATACAAGAGGCGAGGAGGCTAGACATTCAGGACAGCCTGGATAGGCGAGCGTGCCAGGGGTCCCTCCTTCTTGGTGCTGCCATGTGGGAGGGGGTGGCAGCTTCCAGCTCATTCTCAGAAGGGCCAGGATCAGAAGTACTCAGAACCTCTCTGGATATAGTTGCTCCCAGGAATGTTTCAAGTAAACTTTCATCTATGTGAAAAACATACCAAGTAGCTCAAATGAGAAATTTCAATTTCTGATGAGCCAAATGTAATAACAATGCCATGGTAAACAATCTGTTCTCAAAGTCTTCCTGAAACTGACTAGCCCCATGCACTTCAAAAGTTGGTAAATATGATTATCACCATTTCATAAAATTGAAAACGCAGAGTGTCTGAGGTTACAGCCACCCACAGGGGAGCAGGAGGTGGAGGCCCTGGGCCCAGCCCCTCCACACACTCACTGTGGCCCCTGGACAGGTCAGTCTCCCTGGGCCTCGGCATCCTCTTCAGGAAATCTGGGACATGGACTCTGACCTGTTGCCATGTCAAGTCAGGCCCAGCAGCGGTGCCAGGGCTGCTGGTGTCTGCCGTGCAGCTGCCTCTGTTGCTGGCTTAAACCCACCTGCACAGAGGGAGGGAATGTGGTGCACGGTTCTCCTCCCAGCTTCAGAGGGAACCAAGGTTGCTTTTTCCTCTCCTCAGCTGGAACCCGTGGGCCAAAAGACGACCTCCAACAACTTCACCCACAGCCGAACCAAACTCAAGTGCCCCTCTCCTGTGAGTGAACGTCCTGCATGTCCTGTGGGACAGACGCCTTGGGGGCGGGGGGAGTCACAAAAGAGTCCCCCGGGACACTATCACTGTGCGCCTCCCTTCACTGCCACCATTCTCAAATCTCCCCTCAATCCCCTTATTGTCCCTGAAACTTCTCAGCTCCTCAGCCATGGGCACAGGGCAGGAGAAAGCAGCAGGTCTGAGTGAAGTGGAAAGAGGCACTCAGGGATCACAAATGGGCCCTGGCCAGAACCCTGGGTCACCATTACCCCGAGGGGTTGAGGCACCCTCTGTCCTCAGCACGCACCGAGGAGCTCGCCCATGCCAGGCACATGTCTAGAGCTGGGGGTTTGGGGACAAGGAGAAATGAGACCCCGTATCTGTTCTGGGAGCCTGCGGTCCTCCTCCACCGTCTCCACCACTCCTTCCAGGCCCCTGCTGCCCTCACCCGGACCACTGACGAGACCCCTCACTTGCTCCCCAGCTCCCCTCTCTCCCTTCTCCGTCCGTCCTACAGTAGCCACCGGACTCAGGGTAGCCTAACTGAAAAGGAACTCCAGTCCTGTCAAGGCTGCTCGAAACCCTCCCCTGGTCCCCACTGCTCAAGAGAGGCCAGAGGGTGGGAGGTCCTCGTTCCTGTCTCGCCCTAGACACGCTCTCTGTGTTCCTGGAACACGGATCAGCTTCCCAGCCAAGCCCCGCGACTGTGCTCACTCGTGCCCTCTGCTCCTCCTGCGCCTCAGCCCCCATCTCTGCCAGTGGAAAATCCTCACACCCTTCAAGGCCAGATGCTGCCCCCTCGGACCTACTATTCCTCCTCTCTCACCTCCTTCTGCCCCGCACAGCGTTCCTGCCCCCAGATATACACTGTCGGTCTCTCTTTTCTGTTTACACCTCTCAGAAGACACTGACCCAGGCACCTTCGTGATGTGACCCAGTGAACACGGCACCCAGTGGTCACTGACAGTGAGGAAAGGATCCGGGGAGGCAGCCACAAACGCCGCCTCTCCTGGCCCTTCTCAGTTTTGGTTCTCTAACCTACTACAGAGCCAACCATCCTTCCACACTGACCTTCCCTGGGATGGGGGGGTGAGGGTAGTTGTCAAGCAACTGCCTGGAGAAAATGGGTGTGGGGGGCTCTGCCAGCTCCCCACGACCCGCCGTCAGTTCCTAATCTTTCAAAATCGGGTTGACAGCAAGGGAGATGCTGGTGAGAAACTAAAAGGGGGAATACCTGGGTGGTGACCCCTTGGGATGCCCATCTTCATCCAGAAGGTTTGGCACAGTATAGACAAAGAAGTTTACAAACAGGGATGAGCTGTGGAAATGTGCAAGGTGATTGTACCACCTCTGGGATGGGGTCTAAGCAAGCTTAACATGGGCAGGTGGGCAGTTTTCAGAGGCCCTTATCTCCTGACCCTTTCCCCCTCCACAGGAGAGCCCTTATCTCCACACCCTGGGGAACAGTCAGCCACTCCAAGACCAGGCTGATGCAGGCCCCGGGGTGCTCTCCTGGGCTGTGCCAGTGGCGGCGGGAGGTGGCCTTGCATGTGGCATAGGTGCAGTGATGGCATGGAGGGCCATGAGGGGTCGCCAGAGAGAACATCCTGCAATGAGCCTGAACACCATGAGCTTCTAGGCCACGTTCAGGAGCTCATCCTAAATTCCCAGCATCGTTCCTCTCCACCCTCTACCTTGGCCACCCCCGCCACCACCAAGAGTGCTTGCTTCAACACCTGGTGAAACAGGATGCCACAAGGACAGTCGTGACTTCTGGAGTCTGGGGCCTATGATCCTGGAATTGGCAAATTTAAATAAAGGTCAAAGCCGTTCTATTCTTGGGTTAGCCTGCCTGAAGTGCTCACCTTCCATCTGTCGAGCAGCACAGGTACGGGAGCTGGAGTCTTTCATCACCTGTCTCAGCCAGAGCTACTCGAATGACAGGCAACCAGAGCCCAGACCAGCCCATCAGGCTCCAGCCAGCACCCGATGAGCGTATGCTCAGTCACCAAACCCACTATTTCAAACTCTGGCCAGCATTCAAAAGAATCCGATACCTGTTATACACCTGTTCTGTCCTCAGGACAATGCAGAGCAGTGAGGTAACTCCAAGGCTGTGCATGTCCTGGCCTGGCCAGGAGGACAAACTTCTTCATAAAACAAGAAGCTCCATGACAGTGTGCAATTCAGTACTGGGGCATTTGTAGGTAAATGTGTCTAATTGCTCTCAAGAATAGGATAGTTCCCTGGGGAAAGTTATCTGGAAGAGAGCAACTTTGAAATGTCAAAAAAGTAAAAAAGGATTGGGACGTGAATACGTCACATATCCTCAACCTGATTTTTTCAAGGAGCTAAATTTAGGAAAGAATTCATCCTTCTACATTATCAGGTGTCTAAGAGAAAGCTAGAGAGCCTGATAATACAGGCTGGATTCATGTAGCCCCTACTAGGGGCAAGGCCTCATGCTGCACAAAAATATCCTGGCGGGGGAGGAGCAGGGGAGAGAGAAGTTTTGAAAGTAGAAGTGGTGGTTGCACAACATTGTGAATGTACCAGCTGCCACTGAACGGTTCACTTAAATGCTGATTGTATGTCATATGAATTTCACCTCAACAAAAAAGCAATCCACTATCATCTATGCTCTGAGTAACTCTCTGTCATCCCTAGCTTTGGGATGGCAAAAGAGAAAAGTGAATTAGAACCCCTGATGTACATTTGAATATGTGGCCTTAGGAGCAAATCCCATCACTAGCCTGATCCTGTTTTTCAGAGTCCTCATCTGTAAAACTGGAAAGTACCCCTTTCGTCTGCCTCCAGCACTGCTGGAAAATGACAAACCACGGACAAACCAACCATGCTCTGTAATCTAAGACACTACATGCATGAAAGTGAAAATGGGCTCTTTTTCCCTGTGAGAGTTGAGATAGGATCCTGGCTGTCAGGGAAATGGAGAGGTCCAGAGATGGGTTTCAGAGATGGGCAGCAATAAATGAATGAAGGCTGCCTGCCTTCTTCTCGGGATTCAGCATGTTGTCCCTCTTTGGCAAAACAGAACAGTCCCCAGAAGACCTAGCTCCAGTTGTAGTGTTCTTCTGGGCTCCAATTTCTGTTTAATGGGAAGAGCATACCATCCCCCACATCTTCTATGGACCGAAAAACATAGTGGGTGAATCACACGTGTCCTAAAGAACTACCACACCCCACCTTGTGTTCCTGGCTTGACACAAGATAACAATAAAGATAAGCCCGTAAATCCAAGAGTTCAACCTCCTTTTTAGTCCCCAAATTTCCATTTCCCAGCTCAGAGAATCATGGAATTCATTACCACCAAGTCTGCCCTCATTTGGGTTAGGGGTTGGAATCTACACTGCTTGAGTGACCCAGGAGCCCCCCAGTCTGAAAAATTAACCCCCAAAAAGTGGCCCCACTTTGGTAACAACATTAGGCAGAAACAAAGAGAAATCCTGTCTGGAAGGACACAAGCAGAAGCCAGGCCCCAAATTCCCACCAATATATACTAAAAAGCTAGATTTTAAAAGTACATGAGAGTATCTGCTTGAATGTGGTGGTACGTACATTGGGTACATGCCATGCCCTTTTTCCTGTAGGAAGGCCTTCCGTCTAGTTGATACCCACAGCCACATCATGAACAAAGACACCAAATCCTGAGAAAGCTGTAGTCCGGTACTCTTCAATATGGCTTTTGAATTAAAAAAATAGATGAGTGTGGATTAAACTTGGCCAAAAGTTTCCATAAAGGACATAGAACTTTAATTGAGCCCTGGAGGATGGAGAGATGATTTGGTTAGAGGCCAAAAAGAACAGAGTTGTTGAGACTTAGAAAAATCACATCTAGGTGGAGAGACAGATGAGCATGGCATGTATAGGGGACAATGAAAAAGCCAGAGAAAATGAGGGTGATGAACTAGATAGAGTTGGACTAGGGGACTATGGCATGGGTGAGGAGTTAATAGTGATTATATTTTTATGGTTGTATATCTGGCCACATTTGATCTGGGAACATAAATGTTAAGGAGGAAAAATTAATACAAAGTAAAATACCAAAAAAAGTTGACAGAGGGGTGGGTTCAAGCTGGCACTGTAGAAAGAGCCTGAGCCCACCTCTTCCTTTGTACTCACCAAACCTACACATAAGGCATTTCATCCCATGAAAAATGGAGGCCTGAGTGAACACCTTCTGCACAATGAGGAATAAAAAGACCACATGTAAAACTGCAGGAATGATGGAGACACAGTAACTGAAGGAGCCTATGCCTAGTGTGGCCCTAAGTAGGGAGAGATATCACTGAGCTACCTAAGTGCAGACTTGCCTGCCCTGGGGCACAAAAAAAGACCACAACTTGGAGGGTTTAAATATGACCATCTAACAGCAAAGGAACTGCCAGAACTCTCTCCAGGACCAGAGATTTTAGTGAACACCATTGTTTGCATTCTCCCTGGACACTGCCAGTGCAAACAGGAGCAGAGCAAGCAACAATGCTTATGTTCCCATGCACACTAACAGTGCAGACAGGCAAGAGCAGAGTCAGGGTGAACACAGCAGCTCCAGACATGACAGGGGCAGCCTCCCAGCCCCTGCATACACCCAGATACACCCATCCCAAATCCAGCAGTCCCACCAGGTGGGACTCACAACACTCACATGGATTACCCTGCCCACACCACTTCCATTCCCTGCCATCCTGTTTGCATGGCCCCAGTGTAGTACCAACCTGGGAGACCCCCAGACTGTACCCATCCACCCTCAGCCACCCCATTAACCCCAGCTGGCACCCACCTTGAAGACTCCTGGACCTGCCAAACCAGTCTTCAGCCAACCAGCCAAAACTACCAGGCACATGCAATCTCCCAAGGGGACATTCCTACACACGGCCATGCCTTCAAGACTGGGAGAGGTAGCTCTTTCACCTAACCTGTAGAAACCAACACAGAAAGTCAAACAAAATGAGGAGACACAGGAATATGCTTAAAACAAAAGAATAGACAAAACTTCAGAAAAAGAACTAAATGAAACAGAGTTAAGCAATCTACCTGATAAAAGTTTAAAATAATGATTGTAAAGATGCTCACTAGACTTAAGAGAAGAGTGTATGAACTCAGTGAGAAACTCTACAAAGAGATAGAAAATATAAGAATGAACCAACCAGAAATGAAGAATACAATAAATGAAATGAAAAATACACAAGAGAAAATTAACAGCAGATTAGGGGATGCAGAAGAACAGGTCAGTGATTTGGAAGACAGAGTAATAGAGATCATTCAAACTGAACAGCAGAAAGAAAAAGAATAAATACAAATGAGCACAGGCTAAGGGAGTTGCAGGACAACATCAAACATCCTAATATTTGCTTTCTAGGAGTCCCAGGAGAAGGGAGAAGAAGGGATGGAAAACTTATTTAAAGAAATAATAACTGAAAACTTCCCTAACCAGGGGAAGGAAATAGACATCCAAGTCCAGGAGATTCCCAAACAAGATGGACCCAAGGAAGTCCACACAGAGGAACATAATAGTTAAGATCTCAGAGAGCAAAGATAGACTCCTAAAAGCAGTGAGAGAAAATAAATGAGTTACCTACAAGGGAAACCTCAAAGGCTATCTGGTGGTTTTTCAGCAGAAACTTTGCAGGCCAGAAGGGAGTGGCATGATATATTCAAAGTGCTAAAAGAAAAAGACCACAAAGAATACTCTACCCAAGAAGGTTACCATTCAGAATTAAAGGGGAGATAAAGAGCTTCTCAGATAAACACAGGTTAAAGGAGTTCACCACCACTAAACCAGCCTTATAAGAAATGTTAAGGGGATATTTCCTTCAAAATGAAAAGAAAATCTACAACTAGAAGCAAAAAATTATGAAAAGAAAAAAATTCACTGGTTAAAGCAAACAGATAGCAAAGGTGGTAGACCAGTTGCTTAAAAGCTAGAATGAAGGTTAAAAAGTAGTAGTTAAGTCAACTCCTTCTAAAAATTAGTGAAGGTAATCACTCAATAAAAGGTGGTAAAGGAGACATATACATAAAATGTGGAAGAGGAGAAATTAAAAATAGAAATATCACACAATATCATACAACATCCACTTCTGGGAATTTACCAGAAGAAAACAAAAATCACTAATCTGAAAAGATACATGCACTCTTATGTTCTTTAATGCAGCATTATTTACAATAGCCAAAATATTGAAACAACCTAAATGTCCATTGATAGAAGAACAGATGAAAAAAAAGTGGTATATTTATACAATGAAATATTACTCAGCCATAAAAAAAATGAATCAAATCTTGCTGTTTGCAACAATATGGATGGACCTAGAGCATGTTATGCTAAGTGAAATAATGAAAAATAGCATATGATTTCATTTATGTGTAATCTAAAAAACAGAACAAACAAAATTGAAATACACTCATAAACACAGAACAGCATGGTGGGGGAGGGGGTAATAGATGAAATAGGTGAAGGGAAATAAAAATTGGTGAGAATGTCTGATATCTTGATCTGGGTGATGGTTACATGACATATACACATGTCAAAATTCATTAAGCAGTACATTAAGATGTGTGCATTTTATTGCATGTACCTCCATATTCTTGAAGATGCTGGGAAAAAACCCTGTAATAGAAAAAGACTTTTGATAGAGTACTTATGGTATGCAGTGTATGACAATTAAATTTTGCACATCCCTATTATCATCTCCTTTTTACAGAGGAGAAAACCAAGACTCAGAAGAGGTAACTGGCCCAGAGTTATATTTTCATTACATAGTGACATTCATCAAAATAAATACTATTGTCCAGGGTAGGAGAATAATCCAAAAATATAAAACACATGATTCCAGCAGTGAATGGGGCCAAACTACAAATTATCGTAGTTTAAAACCAAAATCTAGGAACGGGAGATATTATCTCTACTAGGCAATGGTGGCACCATGAGTTTTTTTTACTCTCAATTGGTCAGAAGAATTCAACCATCTCCTGGTAATCATCTATTTTAAAAAATTAACTATAGGGACAGAGATTTATTTTGCTAGAGTATATATGGAGTTGCTTAAGCTAGAAAATCTTTTAATTAGGAAAAAAAATGGCCAAACAGTCCCTGTGAGAATCAGTAGCCACAACAAAGAGCAAGATCGGGCCCACATTTCACTAACGTAGTACTGAAGACACACTATTTGCAAGTATGTTTAGAAAAATAAAGACTAAAGGAATTTAGAACATGAGAAAAGAATCAGGCACTTTTTTCAAGACAAATTTATGAAAGAACTTTGAACCAAACAGAACTTCTAAAATCAAATATATTGGTATTAAAAAAAAACTTCAGCAGATGTGTTCAAATAACAGATCAAACACTTAGTGACCCAACATATCTTGTTCATTTACTATGTGCAAGTCACTGGTTTTTAGCAGTAAGTCTGTAGTACTCATTAATTCCCAAACAGCCTAGTGAGGTAGGCATTACTGTTAACCTGATCTCACAGAAAAACAGAAGCAGATTCTGTATGTTTTCAGTCTTTTTATAAGAATTAGGTGAGATTAAAAAAACCCCAACAGTTTAAAAATATTTTAAACTAAATATAAAAAATAAAAATAGATTAAAAATAGATATTTAATAATTAACTCCCTTCCCACAACAGTATTAATTCCAATAGATTATTCAAGGGGATTTGTAAAACCACCACCATAATGAAAATACACTTGGCTCCTTGTAAGGAGCTTACAAATCATTTGCATGCATTCTCATCTGATCCTCGCCACAGGTTTGAAAACAAGGCATAGTATTGTTAAGAAAAAATATTCCAACTTGGAAAGAAGGCAAGGGAGTGACCTCTTGTCTGTCAATGTCACTGTTTAACAAGCTCATCTAAGAAATATTTAGTTATCTAGAATACACCTGTGTTTGACTTTGCTATTTACTATTTGATTGGAGCCCAGACACTATGAACTTATGTCAACTAGTGGTTTGCTGACTGGTAAAACAAAGATAACCTTGAGTTTACAGTGTTATCAGCCTGTAGGACATTAACCAGTTTTGTACCTGTTAGCAACATCATCTCAGCATTCCATTTCAGCATTCCAACTAACATTACATAATGGAAATGTAAATTTCCATTCCTCAAATTCTCCCTTGAACCAGACTTAACCACCTTTGTGACACCCCCATGGATTACTGAGTTCAAGTCTCTGACATCTGTTCTTCCTATATTTGTATGAGAATCATGTCTTTAACTT